TTCCGGGCGTCGGATTACGTGGCTCCGAGTATCCATTTCAAGACAGGACCGCGTTCTTGACGGCGGAGTCCATATCGGCCAGGTTTCAGACACCATGTGCCAGGTTAATTGATGCTCTGGAATTTCATCAATTCAGTGCAGCCGTTATGTTTGACCTATGTTCTATCAACAAGGCAGAAATCTCCCTTTTTCATTCCCCTTTTTTTCTCAGAAAAAGTGCAGTTGAACCTCGATGATCCAGGCTTTGCTTAATTGACGAAACCCCCTCACAGCAAACTAAACGTGCGGGCTGCAATTTTAATTTGAGCTGCTTGATTCCCATTCAGATCGAATTGCATTTTATATGAAAAGTTACGCAGAACCAAGATTAGGATTACATGCACCAGAAAATGTCGGAAAAAGGTATGATCTCATGAAAGGGGAAAAACGTCTTATCATTCGCACCTATTTGAAGAAGTTCATTTAATGAAGGCATCTTGGATATTTTGTGTGGGTCAATATTTGTGGGCTGAAAATCACACTCTATCATTGAATCAACAACAGCGTCGTTTGAAAATTTGTCTGGTTAATGCCAATATTTCATCATCCGAGCATCTATACTCATCTGTCCATATATTCCTGTTTTTACTGCAAATCCGTAATTTTAAAGTAGTGAAATTCTCAATCCTGACACACTGTACTCAAACACCAATTCACAAAAATGAATAACATAAATATTGGCGGAAATGTCAAGAAATCTAGTACAGAATACGCATCCAGAGGGTAACATGTAGAAATCATTATCCAAAAAACTTGATGCTATTTTCAAGATATAAAAGAGAGAATCGCTTTGATAATCATAGTGTACGTTATACAGACATTTTCTGGTGCATATATTATATATCTTGTTTCTGCGTAACTTTTCATACATTGTAAAATGCAATTCGATCTGAACTGAAGGCTGAAAAGGATGTTTTCGTCTAGAGAAATATGTTCGATGTAATACAGTGCAGTATTTTTTCGGGTCCCTGTAGACCTTTTATTAACATGTACAGTACCAGGTAGCTCCTCTATCGCAATTATCTCTGTGAAGTACAGTCTAAATTGATTGTGTTTCGTCCTCGGAGAATCGTTTTGGAGCAGTTTTTCAATAGTTTCCTGCTTGATTTGCGGATTCAGGTTCAAGCTCCTCAGGCCAATACTCCTCAGGTGTCTTATCGGTTGAGAGAATTGTCTTTACCCGGTGTTTCTAACAGGACGGGACGAACCCGTTTGATTTTTGAACGTCACGCGTGTTGATATTTAATTTGATTCGATTTCTATCTACAGTATTTGTATCGAGTGGCCGTGGGGAGCCCTTGGGGAAATGCAGGCTGTGCCTCAATGGCTCTGCGGGTAGTCTACGTGCATTCTTACATTTAGCGAAAGAACTGGATCGGGATTGAAAAAAAAGCTGATTCCATATAAAATAACAACGCAGGAGATCTCCGTGAGGATAGCAGCATTCCTTTTCTAAAACGAAAAAAGTAAAAAAATAATAATAAAAACATCTCACCCCCCGCCCCCTCCGCTCCACCACAAGAAAACAATTCTGAGGGTAGGAGGATTTTAAATGACGCCACACCTCTCGTCCGCTCGCGGATCATCGGGGATTTTATTGCCGCGCCGGAGAACGTCTGATGCGTCAGCTAATGAGGACACGTAAAAGGAACTGCTGGCCAGCATTCGACGACAGTCACGATTCCGGCGTGACGCAACCGCGTGCGATGCTTGTTCAGCGGAAGAAATCTCCAGAGCCCATCTTGAGAAGTTGCCATGGGTTTCTTGAATGGGTATCGCGAAGGCCATGCGGGGAGAAATACGTCGGTGAAAAGGGGCTTTCCCGAAGATTTACTTTTGCTACTCGCGCGATTGAGCACACGGGGAACCGATCGATCGTCACGATGAGTTACACTTTTATTTGCCCGTCTAGATTTCTGAACCATTCCACGATAGGAATGTCGCATACGGTATTACCTTATTTGCGCCATTATTGGTCATTCTTTGATGATTTGGATAGTCATGTCGGGGGATAAAGACAGCGAAAAATAGAAGAAAAATATGTGCATGACATGAAGAAAATGGGCAGTTTTTATGTTCTTCGTGATTTCGGATAATTATCCCTCGGTAAAGCTCTGTAGTTAACAACAGCAGGACTGCTACGTTCAGTTTTGATATAGGCCGCTCTTAGGTCTTGGAGAGTCACTTCAAAAGATCGAAAATGTTCAATGTAAGAGGCAGGTTGTATAAGAAAACCAGGAAATTCTTATGCTCATATTTACGAAAGGTCGCACCTTGATTATGCTGAGCAATCATTTGGGGGAGATGGGCCGCAAAATTTGAAAATGTTGCAAGAAAGAATCACGGTATACGCGAAGAATAACAGAAATTGCATTTTGTGGGCGAAGTTTCGAGAACTGGATATCACTCTTGGGAGACTGAAGAATGTTCAGCAGGCTTTAAGCTGAAGAATGCTTGGTTGTTTAATACAGTATTTTAAACTCGGAGAAGTTGTTAGTTCCATATTTCAAATATAAGTCAGCAAAAACCTGAGGCGCTATCTCGTGTATATGCGCAGCATTCTTCGAATCTGCGCAGCGTATAAACATGAATATTCCAAGGATATTGGCTTTTCATATAGCTGAGTATTGTTTCCCCGGAGTAAATCGTTTGCTAGAGTGGAATAAATACGGGAACGTTTCCAACGAACGATCGCTCTCTTGTAAATGTACGTTTCGTGCTAGATGTCTGCTTTCCTTTCCGCTACATTCACGATTGAGATTACAGCCTTTTCGTGGCGTTCAGTACTGTGCTGTATATACGCCAGTACTCCGCCGTGAAGAAAATCCTCTTCACGGCCAAAATGGACGCACAGCTTGAACGACGGCGCAGCGTTGGGCAACCAGAAAAAAAAGCTTGTCGATGAACCCTCTTGGCTCAGATGGGCTGAACATGGCTCTCACCTGGTGGTGTCTGATGTGAGCTTGCCCCGACGCCGTCTGCCCCGGGAGGAAATAACTGCGACGGGTGTCTGGGCATGACTCACTGAAACGAAGGTAAAAGCGCGCCTGCGAAGAGCCTCTGCCGACGATATAAATTCCTCTTGCCCGCAAAAGGTAATGCTGTCATTACCACGCACGTACCAACCTCGCTGCATTTCACTTAATCTTCATTGCTGTAATTCGCGTCTAGCGGTTGTTTTAACGTTCTCCGGTGTATACTTGATCATTTGTCTGACATGGCGCAGATACACCATCCGCTCTTGTTCAATGGTTTACAGCAGTCCGTCTAACCAGCCTGCGCGAAAATCATCAGCGATTCATGCATACCAAAAGGATTTCATTTGAAACACCAGCAATGAGGACGTTCGCCAGTTTTTAGTAGGGTATGGGGCATCATACAACGAATCTAATTCGTCGATTCTAATTCTCGACCTAATTCTCAAGTGCTCCTTCGCTTGGGCGTAGTTCGTTTAATGGGAAGCGTGGGTGAATAATTCGATAAACCGATAGGTAAATTCGAAATTTTACTCATGTGGCGGTTTCGGCGGTTCTAGAGGCGCTTTTGGCTAGAAACACTGATTAATCCAACGAGTTTTTAGATTATAAACGCGTTTTTTTTTGTTGGTTGTACTTGCACCCCTATGTATTGTAATGCGCTTCTGAACTAGAACCCTATACAGTACTGAACTGTACAGTTGGAGTTGAATTCGGCCAAAAATGTCTCCGGTATCCGTACTTTTCGGGGTGATTGAGGTATCCCATATACAGTATTCTCTACGGGCTCTGTGGTTCCTCCGGGAAACTTGGGAAACCGAAGAAAAGCTTAATAAAATCAAATTTTGAGATGATTTGACATGCCGGTGGCCCCAGAAGTAAAGCGAGTATCTGAGACCCAAAGCAATGAAATTCATACTAGCAAATGAGCATGTAAGAGTATACATCTCACCGAAGAGGTTCTACTATGTGCATTAGTGCAAAACGGTTTCTTCCACGGAAAATTATCTTGAAGCGAGCCATAGCAATTGGGAGCGTCTGCGCTTGAGAATTCATGTGCTCGTCTTGTTTTAACTGGAAAGGTCTGCGGAATTGTCCGATTTCAAAGTATTTGATTATCGAAAAGCGTGCAGTTTTCTTGCTACCGGAAAACGTCGATTTATAATTCACGGACGTCGTAACGGAGGCAATTGAAAATGACCGTCGGAAGCCCCAATGCGGAAGAAACGCCTGGAGGCATACGATGCTTAATTCGTTAAACGGTTTCCTGTGATTCATCGAGAAGTGCGTGTTGAGGCTACACCCAGCAGCGTTCCGAGGCTCTTCAAACACGAGTTCGTGATTCACCCACGATCCGAACGACTCCTTGTATGGAGCAGCAGACAATACCTCCCCTTACAATGCTTCAACAAAAGGTTTTCCGGGCATAAAATCGATCAGCAGCGGACTGCCCTCCGCGTTTTGGAAGAAATAAAATGTTTCTAGAAGCTGGAAGGACGAAAAAGGTCATGTGGTACATCATTTCGGGCGAAGAAGCTTGAAGGGTTTATTGGGCAAAGGTTTCTTTGGTTCCGTGACATTATTCTCGTTCAATGTTTCCCGGGAAATATGGGTCGGAAGCCTGATACAGTACGGCGAAGCCTCGTACAACAAACTGCCAGCGAAGGAGTTGTTTGTTGTATGAAGTATTCAAGGTGTGCGATACATTTCTTGGCTATAAAAAATATTCCGGTGAATGGTATCAGTCATAAAGCGTGGACGGTTCTGCTGCTTCGAATACCTTCAAGTAATGAGTTTCTGCGATTGAAAAATATTCTGTTCCCACAACCGCAACGTATTCAAGTTTATGTTTCCACCGGTAGTTTCGGAGCTAGGCGCCGATAAATCTCCTGTTCAAGATGCATAAAAAATACCCCTATACCTTCATACCCAAAAACACGTTCAGATGAAGCATCTTTTATTTTTGGAACGAAATTATTCTCGCTGATGATTGGATGCGCCAGAAGACTCACGGGTAAAATTCTCGCATTTTCGTGAAATGATTCGTCCGCCGGGGAAGAAAAACAGGGATGCTTTAAGATAATGCGGTCAGAGTTCAACACAGGAGCATAACAAGAAAGAACGACCTGTTTGCATTTCCAGATTCTTCGGACATTGTTGACTGCAAGCTGAAGCTGATCCTGGGGCTGATATGGACCCTGATTCTTCACTACTCAATCTCTTTGCCTGTTTGGGAGGGCGAGGAGGAGACCGAGGGGAAAGGCCCAACGCCCAAGCAAAGGTGCTTCGCCCGGCTGTTTTTCTCGCCCCACGTCGAGCACGTCATTCAATATCCTTTATTATTTCCCAGGCTGCTGAACTGGATCCAGAATAAGGTTCCGGATCTTCCAATCACCAACTTCACCACTGATTGGAACGATGGGCGTGCCGTTGGCGCCTTGGTGGACGCCGTTGCACCGGGTTCGTGTCTCTATTCATTTCTTACATTTTAATCGTGTTCGACGCCACTGGAACCATGAAATTTATTACGAAAGATTTCAAGAAGTTCCACCCTTCTTAAGACTCGATGCTACCAGACGCGAAGTAATCATTTTCTCGAGTACAGGTTAACGTGCTCCATTATTGAGATCGTAATTCATCTGTGGAGCCACCGGTTGCGACGTGGTTGCGGGATCATTTATTCCGATTAATTATTCTGGATCTCCAATCCTGTCCCAGATAATTCTTGTTTCAATCTGTGTTCAGGTGAAAGAGTCCAGTGGGCCGGCTTCGTAGTATTAATGGAACCGAACCCTCAGCTCTGAACATAAGTATCGAAATTTTGCCTTTGAATGAATTCAACCACCGCAATACAAAATTACTGCCGCATTTACGCGAATAGAGGTCCCCTTTCATCCCGAGATGCAAATTCGGTCTTCTGAAACTTTAAAATTGCAGTCTGACCCAAGACGCGCTTTCACTTGCTTCGCAATGCGTATTCAGTACTGTATATTGGTCGAGGTGGACCAGAGAGTAGTAAACATTAAATGAAGAAGTCAAATACTACGTATTTTGACGATTAAATAAAAAGGGGTTCACTCGAATTTATCTTTCAGGCTAGTTTAGTTTTCATTACTGTTTTATTAGAAAAGAAAAATAACGAATTCAATGTTATTTTAAAGAAAAAATCTAGTGGAGTAAAAAAAAAACCCGTGGTTTTCTCGTAGTGGTGTTTTGAACCGTCAATTTTTGTTGTTGCTTTTTTCCATTCTTATTGGTTAGGAGGTCAATGAATTTTTGAAGCACAATTTTGAAACACGAACCGCAAAAGTTCGAAATACAGTATATGCTTATCTGAGACGCTGTCGATTCTCAGACCGATCCTGCATTTTTTTTTTATAAATTCAAAGAAAAATGCAAACCTTTCACTATTTTCCAAATATGCTTCCGAGACTTCGAAGTGTACTTTTCGAATACATCATAGAGCACAACTGCAATTTTCTGTCCGTCATGCGATTTTCAAAAAACTGTTCTAAATTATTTATTTTTATCGTAGGAAAAGCATATTGAATTTAATTATTTCATTCATTTTTTTAGGATTGTGCCCGGATTGGACTGACTGGTCGCCCAACACGGCGTTGCAAAACGCCCGCGAGGCAATGGATTTGGCCGATAACTGGCTCGGGGTTCCACAGGTAAGAAACAAGTCGTTTTTCTCTAATTTTCCCGGGCTGTAATCCCAAGTACCCGGGTCGTAAGGGGAGATAAACAACAGGGGTCGTGTAGACTCCGCAGGTGGGAGCATTCTCGCTTTTCCTCCTCTGTACCAGCCCTCGAAACCCCGAGCATAAACTTCGAGCATGTGCTAAAAATGGACTGGCTGAAATTCGGGTGGCAGGAACACTTGGAGTCCTGATCTTGGCTGTGGTCCAGTTTATTTCCAACTTCCTCGTGCTTTTCTTCCCTGTAACGACGGGTTTCATCAAACATCCTGCTCTTCTTCCCAGAGCCTGCGATTGTGTTACCACGCGGGGGCGTCCAACCTTTCGCTACTCGCAGCTGCAGCTGCAAATCAGAAGAACATTTCACTCATTCATGTGTGCATGCATGTCGCGAGTCGAAACCGCGGAAGAGTACAATAAGCAGTAGTTTTTCATCGAAAAAAGTATAATTTTAAATGGGGGTAATTTATATTTTCTCGAGTACACAAATAAGGATAATCCCATCACAATCACAACTTCTAAAAAAAAAATTAAGTTTGCTGGGGAATCTCATCAAGTAAAAAATGCCCATGATTTTACGGATGTTACCGCAGAGTGCAACTTTTCACGAAAAATTCCTCTGCGCTCCTTCAATTCTTGATGATTTTCCTCATGAATCCGAGTCCGAAACTTTCAAGTGACAGCTCATAATTTATAAAAATACTGAATCAAAACTTTTACGGATATTTCTTTGAATGAACTTCTAGCCAATATAAACTTGATTGTCCCGACTTGATTAACTGATGCGCATGCGATGAGTCATGCTTTCTTTCCAAGTTAGTATACAAGGAAGCAGGGTTGCCTATGTACTGTGATTTTGAATTGATTTGTTTCATTCCCCTCACATCGACTAGAAACATATTCGACAGTTCATTCAAAATATTTATGAGCATGATGAGTTCAAATAAGCAGCATAAGAGGAACACAAATTCATCATCCGCTTTTGAAAGGCAAAGTTACTTGGGTTCTCTGACCACTTCTCAAGATTTGTGCTGAAGTCCATAGCAACATATTCGGCCTTTATTTGGTATTTTTTTCAGAAGGGGATTTTTCCCGTTTCCGCACTGCGTCGACGTTCGCTCATTCCGGCGAATGCACCTGAACTTGAGCCCCGATTTAAAAAAAAATCCCAGGGCGTGTTCATTTGCTTTCGAAATTCAGCTAAATCTTCATTAAATTTTCACAAATTAATGCCGTTCTCAGAAAAATGTCACGACTTTAAAATGAGGGAGCCGCAGTTTGAACACCCCTGCGTCGAAGGCATGGGAAAACAATCTCACCTTATTCATTGCCGGGATTTCGGCAGGAATTATTTCGCCTCGCTACGCTTGGCGCACCCATATAGCGGTATTGAATTATAACTAAGAATTATTTTCAACCAGCTCTAGACCAGATTAGAATGTATGTATCAAGACCCTCGTTGTTCGGGCCATTCCGAAAATGACCCTTCGAGGCTATTCATATTGGTTCAAGCGCGAGTACAATTCGTTTCCTCAACTAAAGGATGTCCAAGTCGCCCACGTGATGCTCTTCGGGGCTTATTCATGAAGATCACACGAGATGGATTTCATGTTTCATAAATTTTCTTCGGGTTCTTTTTACTGGAAACCAAACCTGCCTGTATTTGCAATACGGGGCACCATGTGCACCCCCCCCCCCACCATCTTGCAAGAAAGAAAAACTAACTAAAAGCAGGTGCTCCTCATTCATGAATAAACGTTTCGATTATTTATAATAAATTTTTTCGACTTTTTTTCAAAGATAACTGCCCGTTTCACCCAGTACAAGAGGGAATGAGGGTCATTTTCTGTTGGACTCAGAATCTTTTGAAGAGCTAACTCCCATATATAGCTGCACTTTTTTCAGAGCTTAATCATGTCGGCTCTTCAGAGTAATCTGGACTATTGTTACGAATATTGCTGCACCACGAGTCTCGTATATGATGTATCTATAGATTTGTGTGGCTCTAAAGCAGTCATCCTAATGACGGTTGAATTCATACAAAGATTCAAATCAGGAATCGACGTATGATCATCTCTGCATGGAGTACCCAACGCAGTTGCTGGTTTTTAAAGTCACTGCCAGTGATTGAGAGTGAAAATGAAAATTATATACAGACAAGCACCCGAAAAGCCATGGCTAGAAAATCCAAATGACATCCGTGCGTACCTCACTGGTTGAACGCTATCTATACCGTAATTCCAAAAATTCATAGTTTTCATCTCCAGATGAAATCACAGAATATCTGGATTTTCTGAAAGTACAGTATCTTGAGCTAAACATTTTCAAGCATTGTTCACCGGATCTAGAAGGCTGAGAAAACTAAAGTAAATTAGAGTAACACTGTAGGATGAGGAGTACGGCAAATACATTTGGAAATATGGAGAAAAGCCACTAGACTACGATAGGAATAGTATTTTTTGGGTTGGACTAAAATTTAGAACGTTATCAGAAAGCACTGCTTTAGAGACTCACTGATTGACAGGGTCTTGTTTTGGATGAATTAGTCCCGGGAAATTCTGAGGGTTCCAGAAATTCATCTCGGACTTACAATACCTGCATCCTAATCACGTGCTCTATCGTGTTGCGCTCCTCTAATGCGAAGCTTTGAAACACTTTTTGCGCAGCTCATCAAGCCTGAAGAGATGGTGGACCCCAAAGTGGACGAACAGTCCATGATGACGTATCTGTCGCAGTACCCGAATGCGAAGCTCAAGCAGGGTGCACCCATCAGACCGAAAACGAGTCCCACCAAGTGAGTGCATCGCTATTCGTTTAGCCTTTTCAATTTTCCGCGGGTCAAACCAGGCGCGCCTTTCGTGGTTTCAAAAAAGCAGTCCCGTGCTCCGACCGATTATTTCCTAAACACCATCCGCTTGATCATCTCCATTGTCCCGAAACGCCTTTAAAGCAAAGATCCGGAGCACGGTGTCATCCTCGGGATCGAACTCGCCAAAACACTTCCATTGTTGCGGTCTGCTAGTGTTGTGTTCGTTGCGGGGCTCTCTTTGGTGGTGCTTGGCATCAGAACTCTCCATCATCTCATGTAACCCCCCCCCCCCCCACCTTTCCCGAGTTTAAATTTTCACGTCACGTACCAATGACTGCCGCAAGCTTGCGAAAGACCTCGTACTGCGTCGGGGCGGCCTTTCGTCGAATTTCCGTGGTGGAAAGCTCCTTTTTCAACTGTTGAGAAACTCCTGACCGTGACTGGATACATGTCTTAGAACATGAATCGGAAAAAGGCCGCCTGATGAAAATGCTAACGCGCTGATGGGCTGTTTCTTTAATTTTCTCTTCGTCTTTACATTCTGTGCGCCTCACATTTATTCAAGTAGCTTGCTTTCGCAATCAAAAGCTTGTAATTTCAATAATGATAAATCTGATCGTTACGTGCAAGTCTTTTTACGGGCTACTATTTCGACCCACAAAACAAAAGAATACTTCGAGGAGCTCTGAACATGCTCGTGCATTTTGAAATCCGTTTTGAGTGAAGGTAAACCATCTGAAAGAAAAAGCGTTAAATTCTTCAGAAAATACGTAGAGTGTACCGAAGATTAGAAGACGCTTATGGACAGACATCTATTTTAGCCGTCTTGGGACTTACTCTTGTCTTACGGGCGGTAGAAAATTGTGCTGTAATTTCAGTATTGGGATTGTAAAATTGTAAAAATGAGACATTGTCAAATTTTGTCAACTTCAGAAAATAAATTCTTGTCTGTATTTCCTGTTGAATTTGTGGCGAATGAGTCACATGATCTTAGAATTAACTTTTTTTTCGCCCATGCGCGAAACTGTTGTTATTGGAACGTTGTCAACCTTGTATCTTCTTCAGCACTTTTACACCTTCATTTGACACAAATTTCACAATTATAGGTTTAGAAACCCCTGAAGTATTCATATTTTGTCGGTCTTGTAGCGCGTGAATCATCTTGTATGGTGTTCATATCTGTGGAAAAGTATACGCCTCGAGTATCGAAGCTAGCACATGAAACGAACGATTGGTGAATTATGTGGAAACCGCTTCACGGCGAAATGATTTTCTGATTGACCGTATGGGATCATCAGTAAAATAGTCACGTATCCCTCCGAGAAGGAAGAATATTAGAAGTCAACTCTGACTGCAATTTATATCTCCGAAAGAAGTTGTAGTTCAGGAGTTCAAAAGGATCTGGCTTATGAAATCACGTTCCAGAGATATATTTTACGGCTTTCCTTCCGAGCAGCACAGAAGAGACCCGAAATGAACCCACACCTGCGAGACGGAAATTTATGACCGTTCGCTGTAGAAAAGAGGCGGAAAACAAGTGATGCGCGTTAGAGTTGCTTGTTCGTTATACCGGGGCGGGATCGTCACATCGGAATGCATAGGCGCTAAGAAATATGTCGGGCGCGTACGTGACATGTCGTGGCGGCACTCACTCTTTTTATTGCATTCTTGTCACTCATGTACTGTATCTCACTTCTCTCGTTTCTTTACACAGCCCTGCCTGGCGGTAAGTTGAGAACATTGCTCGCCTGCCATCACCGTCTAGACGTGACCTAGAGCCAATCCAAGCACAATTGAGTAATTAACTTAACCCGTTCCCTGTGGGAGAAAAAGTGAAACAAACAAAAGAAACGGTTTGGTTATTGGGAGAAGCGTGAGGCTGAAGTGGGAAGAAGAAAAATAACGCGCGTCGCTGCCAACTTTAATCTGTTTTTACTGGAACGTTGAACGAGAATGTATTGTATGACTAAAAGCTGATGAGGAACTAACATGGCGTGCATGGGAAACTCCAGGTCGAAAGGCTCTCTATATTCGTGTACATAAGCATAGCGTCGACAGTGATGTGTTGAATAACCGACAATGACGATGATTTCCGTGTGTTACATACGCAAATTAGCCGCGGCTGCTCCACTGGCTCGCACCGCAATAATCTGAGTGGTGCCGCGTCTACGGCATCTACCCCTTTACGAAAATGTTGATCTGGCATCTATCATAGTATTGTCGGTGACCTTTCATTTACCCTCATATTTTCAACAGACAGCTTCTACAACTCACAAATAGAAAAATCGAACGGAGGGGCGATGAATGTGTAGTCAAACGAATCATCGTATATCATTTTTGTCTTCGTTCATTTCTTTGGAGTGAAGCTAATGAGGAATGGTTGAAAAGTTTTGTCAGTACCCTGAATTGAACTTTTATTTATGCTCTATACCCCAGGTTCTGATTCAAACTCCTCAAAACAACCTTGGAATCGAGAAAAAAAGAACTCGTTGCAAGCCTCTATGATCTGTTTGATGCATACAGATTTCCTTCCACTTCTTTCTTATCAATTCAAATTTTAAGACATGCTTCCTTTCAACATACAGTACTCCACGCAGAAAATGGTTAGATCGTAGCATTTATGTAAAAAAAAATGTTTTTTCCAATTCTGGAATCTTGCCTACTTATTCACAAAGAATCTTGATTCTTATGTTATGAAAAAGCTCGTTTGGCAATTGAATCGATTTTTTGCGGTTGTCTTTAAGCTTAGAGAGAAAATCTAAAAAAGGGATCAAGATATGAATACATATTTACAGTATTTGCAAGAGTCCGCTGATCTCCATCAATTCAACAAGGGACACAACTGACTGACAAAATGTATGAACCAATCTTCATATGAGTATGGACTTCGAATGGTCGCTGTCATTTTGTTCTTGGGGATCTTCTAAGAATATGTTTTTAATGTCTGTTAGAAGGAAATACAGCGGTTTCTACTCTTAGAATCTAATCGGTGTTGAGCAATTAACGTTTAATTAATGAGAGTCCCTGGTTATATCGGGCTGTTTCCATGGATCATTCTACCGTTTCCTACGCTGAGTTCTTGAGTTAAAGTCAATTCTCACTGCTACTGGATTACCAATCCCATCTTATCAAGACATAGGGATGGGATTACAGTACATGCTGTTATTAAAATGGTCACGTTGGTAGATGTACAAAGATCTTGGGTAGACGCCGCACAGACGCGGCGCCATTCGAGTTTCTCACCAACGTACTGTACATTCGTAGCCGAATTTTTGTGGACCTGCGCTGGAGTTCGTAGCTCGTCGATTAACCGGCCGTTCGGATTAATTGCCCATTGTTATTCGTAGAGTACGCGCTTATGGGCCGGGTATCGAGCCCACCGGCGTCGTCGTCGGTGCGCCGGCTAATTTCACGGTAGAGACGTTCTCTGCCGGCCGCGGCAATGTCGAGATCACCGTTGAGAATCCACAGGGCCAGAAAGAGCCGGTGAGTTTGATCTACTTCGGTTTCTCATCTTCTCAATACTGTCGGTGCTGCCCAGTACCTGGCTATTCGGGCCGAGGAACTCAGCCAGGGGCGGTTGTTTGGACAGCCATGGTTCTTGAAAGCCAGGATCAGTTTTTCCGATCATCGGACCAATATTTATGCATTAAAACATATCAGCGAATGGCCTAAGGGCGAAACTAGTGGCGAACGCATTTAATTTTCGAGATGAAAAAGCCGCGGGTTCTCGCCATTATAATAACGATCGATGGTCGTAAATATGGTGCGTAAAGTACCTGGAAAGGGATGACCGAGGAAACTGCGAGAATTGGTTTTTTTATGGCAGCGTTTCTCAACCCATGCTCCGCGGGGCCTTATTGGCTGGGGCTCTTCGGTTTCTCAAGATAATTGAAAAAAGGTTGCGAATTGAAATAAGCAATAAGAAACGGGGATTTTCCAAGAATATGGAAGGATCACGACTGTACGAGGATGGTTTCATGAGTTATTAGTCATGATATATGTCACTAGATGCTTGCTGTTGACGGAAATGGTCGCAGTTTTCGGTTACTCACTGCTTGACCTGATTTTTCGCTTACCCAGCTCGTAAAAGATACGATAAAGGGAGCGTCAAGTGTGCCTCCCAATGTTTAAAACATAAGGTCGTGCAAAGGGATTGGATTTATCGACAGATAAAATTTTAAGTGAGCAGAAATTGTGGCAGACAAAGAACAAATTTGCTTGTATGAGAGCACCGTGTGTTTGAAAATTTAAAGATTGAAATTCAAAATTGACTTGAAACTGATGGACCATCTTTCGTATGTCCTCAACTCGATGTGAAGAACATGAAGACGGGAAGGTACAACTTTAGGTCGCCGAAATAATTATCCGCAGTAAATGAGGTGGACGTATGGTGCTTCGCCGTGGCCATCAATTTTAAGAATAAATCCGTCAAATATTGTGTATTGATACTCTAATGAGCATTTCAAAATTATTCGGAAAGAGGGCTTCGCCGAGTCGAAGTAAGTTGAGAAACTCCTGGTCCACGCTTTCAGTTCGGGCGGTCTTGGATTTCTTTCCGATATTCATTTCATGAAAACGAGGGCTTGTGAGGGTATGCATTTCACGAACAGGTGGACGTGAAATTTAACAACGACCGGAATCTCACGTATTCCGTGTCCTACAACCCGCGCTTGGAAGGCGTTCACAAGATTTCCGTGAAGTTCGCTGGGCATGAAATCCCCAAGTCGCCGTTCAAGGTGCAAGTGGAAGGGTTCGCAGGAGATGCAAACAAAGTTAAGGCGTCTGGGCCCGGCTTGGAACCCGAGGGCAACATGGTCGGTCGACCCACGTACTTCGATATCATCACGAAAGGTGCGAAGCACATTAGATTTTGGACGACGACGTTCTTCGCATAACGCACTGTCATCGATCAGCTAATTGAATCTAGGGCGTCATTACTGTTACGAATCCTCTACGAAAAACAAACGAACAAACAGGAATCACTGACTCAAATATACATCATGCTGACTGACCTCGTTTCGGCGTTAAAATATGTATATTTACATAACAATATAAACCTTTCGTTATTAGAACGCTCTGATGGACTTGAGTAATGAATTTAACATAATCCTTGGTACACCACCTTTCCTTACCATGGGCGACAGCATTCAAGTTTTTTTTTAATTAGGCAATTCGGCATATAAATCCTCACTCGAGTTTGAAATTGCATGGGAATTTACGTGATGCTGAATATTTCTTCTGCTACTTCAAAAAGTCAGATAGACATGATTGACTAGTGATAGCTTTCATTGCCTTATTTTTATAGAGGAAAATTGAGTCGTCGATGCACTGAATAAATTCTTTTTCATACGTTATAAAAATTACTGAACTACAGTTTTATCAATTGTTCAGCTTTTTAAAAATAATTTCAAGAGGTTCAGATCGCATGACACATACGAAATTCTGCTAATCTCGATGAAATATTCGTCTGTAGCTTTTGTTCATGAGACTTATGCTTTACAATTGCAGCGTTTTTATACTTATTGGCGACATTGGATTCTGGAAAATTCCTCTCGATTATTCATTTTTTATCAAGTAGTGATTAGTTCATCGTCGATTTTGGAGACTCCTTCAATAAAAGTTAGGAATGAATAAACCTGTTCGAATTTCAGAAATGATCTGTGAGCAGCTTGAAGAATTTCACTTGCAGAAACACCCATATAAATGCAAAATTTATCGAGTGCAGATTTTCGTTTCCCCAGTCTATTACATTGATTCTTTTCAGTCATGACCAAAAATCGAAAAAAAACCACACCGGGAATGATCGTGCTCAATTGATGAAATTTCCCCCCCCCCCCCCCCCCCCCCGGGGGGGGATGACGAGAAGATACATTTTTTATCCGGTTCTTGTAATCGGGTTTTCGCGACAGATGCTGGACGCGGGACGCCCGAAGTAATCATCCTGGATCCGTCTGGAAACCGAAACACCGCCCCGGTTAAAGTTACGCAGCTGACTGCTGACACTTGGCGCTGCGAATATGTCGCATCCGTCGTCGGTTTCCACTCCATCAATATTTTCTTCGCAGGGAACCCGATCTCTGGCAGTCCATTCGGTGTCAGGATTTCTCCAGGTAAATCACCCATCCGCTCAAATGCTCTCCCGAGTTGCAATCCGAAAGTATTCCGGGATTTTATTTCCACCGCGCATATGCAATCCGCCGCAGGCACTTCGTCATCAATCTTGGTCTTTTTATGAGGTACTTCGGTTGGAAAATATGAGATGTCGAAATTTGACGATGGTCCGAAAGCTTGTGAAATCGTACTTTAAAAAATGTTTGTCGAGTACGTTTTGAAGGGGAATTGCTGTGTTGGCATACAACGAGCAATCTCTCCTTCGCCTCCAGCAACGCATAGAGACGACAAACGATTTATTGGGATCCATACGAAATTACTCGGTGGAGATTTAAAGCTTCCATTCACTTCGTTCGCTAGATTATTCACCTATATATCACGTTTAGACGTTTATATTTACTTTTAGATATTTTCTGGGTCACTTATTGGTTTCCTGCTTGACCAGAAGTTGGTTGGCTGGAGGAATTTATTTTCATGCCTAAGAAGTACATTTTCCTCGCTTACATACTGTACGTGGCAATAAAATTAGCGTTACTGATTCCTTATCTGCTCCAAAAAGTACTGGACAACTTGAAAGTATTTACGGTAATGCAATTTTTCTTGATAGATTTCTGACGTTATGATAACCTATTGGATTCGTACTATTTGGTATTACTGTGTAACTGCACACAACCCAATCAGAAAAAGCCAAACGTATCCTCATGATCGTAGGTCGCGCGTGAGTTTATGCGACAGCTTGACTTTGGCAGGAAAACGATCAGAAAAAAATCTAGGCCGCAAAAGATTATGAAATTTTTGAGAGGAAACTGCGGCCTACCAAGAGTGGCATGTGATCCAGGAGCTTTTCACCGACAGCTTCTCGCCCTTGAAAATATTTCCTAGCTTTTGAATACAAGTCAGGAAATTGCACACGAACATTACTTTTAGGAAATATGTCATTCTATCTTTCAAATCCAGTTCAGCAAAATTATAACAGATTCCCTCGATTATTATCCAATTACGTTTTGCTATTGCCGTTTTATGAGTGAGTTCTGAATTCATCCCGCAAATTTTCTTTATTTCATCAAGAATTTCGTTTGAGAGTGTATAACGACTCATTCTTATCTGCCCAGTGTGCGACGCGAGACGGGTTCGCGTGACCGGCAGAGGCGTGCAGGCAAACGGGTTGCGACTCAAGGACATTGCAGATTTCGTCGTCCACACCGAAAATGCCGGCAAGGCAGCGTTGGATGTCAAAGTCATCGGACCGGGTGAGTGAGCCAGCCTTGGTGTCAATCAATCCGTCGCAGTTTCCGAACGCCCACTTCTCGAATCAGGTGGCACGAACGAACCCGTGAACGTCAGGAAGTTGGACGAGCACAACTACGAGTGCACGTACGTGCCGAAAAAGGAGGGTCGCTACGTCGTTACAGTTAATTACGGCGGACACGAGGTCCCGAGGTCGCCATTCGAAGTCAACGTTGGGCCTTTCAAAGAATCCAAAATCAGGGCCTTTGGTCCTGGACTCAAAGGTGGCATGGTTGGACATCCGGCACTTTTCACTGTTGAGACGAACGGAGAAACTGGTTCACTTGGTCAGTAAAATGAGTGCAGTATTTCTCAACGCATCCTGAGTCGCAAACGTGAACATTGAAGTTTAAAAGCAATCAATGATAAAAAATTTACTGCGCGTACAGGAGCGCAAAATGCAGTTTTTATTTGTGATATCTAAAAATGACAAAAATTCTCCGCAAATATTAATTACAGTACTTAAATACGGTTAATTTACTGAATGCACTGCATATCTGACGCATTTTCTTCCGAAGTTCTGAGTGCTAATCTGTTCAAAATATGGCGCCTTTCGCTATACGCATCCTAATTTGCAAACGCGAATAAAAATTAAGTTTAGCATATAGGGGTGGATAAGAAAATTATTTCGGGTTTATCTGAATGATGTGATCATCGAAGAATCGCCAGCAATTTATTGTACAGTACTGCATTTAAGTCAGTCGTGGACCCTTCATTAATCGTTCTGATTCACAAGCGCTGAAGGTGAAGCTTTAAAAATACAGTCGAGGACATAAATTTAATGCCTTTCGAGGCGAAACAATCCTGTTGAATTCTGGCTTATTAAAAATATGATAATTGTGGAAGACGTGTAAGAAATTTCCTTAATTCAACTCACTCAGTATTCCGAGCATATATACGGTAGTTTACGAAATCTGCTTCAAACTCTCAAAGAGCATTATTATTTCGTAAAATTTAGCACGTCTCCACCAAGCAGTCTATTTGAGAAGGGAGTCACTGAAGCTCTAACAACGCATATTTTAGTCAATATTGCAAAATTTTCGTATCCATACGCGAAAAAAGACTCTCATGCCTTATCTCGAAAACAAATAATTTTTTGAAGGCTCGCCATCGATTCACCTCATTAATTTGAGTGAGGTAAGAGGTTTCTTGAGTTTATTAATCAGTCGAACAGTAATGAAAAATTCGATTCGACCATCCAATTCACGGCAAAGAACAGCAGGCCAGATTGAATCGAGATTTTCAATGGTCTGTCCCCCTTCTTTTTTAATCAATTTTCCTTCAACCTTCTAAAGCTCACAATCAGTGAATCCCTTTTTGGACATCACGTGTGCAGTGAACAAATATTTTATTTCCGTATAGGATTCAGCATCGAGGGTCCATCTCAAGCCAAAATAGAGTGTCATGATAATGGCGACGGGACTGCTGATGTGAAGTACTACCCTATCGCCGCTGGAGAATATGCTGTACACGTTCTTTGCGACAACGAAGACATACCTAAGTCTCCATTTATGGCTAACGTCGTACCGAAGTCGGAGGAAATCTTCCCGGATAAGGTAAATGAAACAATGTATTGATCATCCTGATGTCTTACAGACTCTCATTTGAGTTTTAAAAAAACTAATGCAATCCAATTGTGTTTTACACCGTGGTTGAATTACCCTCAATCAATGCCGAGAAATTTTGAACAAATGCACCGTCTCGAGTAGATAATCTGAAACTTTGACGTTTTACGAGGGCTGTTTATTTTTTGCACCAAGACCAAAAAAAGAAAATGCCCTCGGATGTGGTCCAAGAAATTTCGCTTCGCAAATTGTTCATCTTACTAGGACATCGCTTCAAAAGTGGGTCACTGTTTCATTTACTCAGCACCCAATATTTGCAGAAGCTATCTATCTGAAATTGGCCTAGATGCAATTTTCTGGTACGATAAATTTTGGTCCATCTGAGAAGCGATGGCCTCTTACATTCGATTAAATACAAGCATCGAAATTTCCCAAATTTCCGTTGAATATCCTAAGCTTATTCACTTCGGAATCAGGCGACTACTCTTTTGGAAGAATATTGACGAGACGGCCGGAAAGCGAGAGAATTGAAATTTTGGTACATCCTGGTTCTAGGTGGAATGCTCTGGTCCTGGACTCAACAAGAATGGACTGATTTCTGGTTGCCCAACGGAATTTTTCGTGGACACCCGGAAAGCAGGCCCTGGTACTGCGCCGCTTGACGTCAAGGTTATGGACGAAAGCTACCACCCAGTCGACGTTCACATCATGGACAATAAGAACCGGACTTATGCTTGCTATTATACTCCCGTCAAAGGGATCAAACATACCGTTGAAGTGGACTACAACTCGGTGGCGACGAAGGAGTCCCCGTACCGCGTGTACGTCGAAGAGCCGACGAATCCTGCGAAGGTGGCCGTGTTTGGGCCAGGCGTGGAGAAGGGCGTCAAGTCGCAGACGCCAACGCACTTCAATGTTGATTGCCGCGAGGCTGGACCAGGTGAGAAGTCGAGATTGTCCACTTTCGTGCTCAATCATCGCAGTGAGCAGCGTTTTCCGTGTTCCTCGCCCGCCGACCACTTAATTTCTTCCCATGCCATTCCCGAATAATTTTATTTCTCTATGCTCTTGCTCGAAAACGTCTTCCCCGCTCCCGCTAATCGACCGGACTGTTAAAAATCCTTCCTATCAAAAGTGAATTGGATTTTTTCGAAGCTGGGCGTATGCTCAAAATACATGTACAGTAATCATATATACGTATATATACACATGACTCTCTGAGGTTCATATCGGACAGGAAAAATGCATCAAGGAATCGAGCAATGCATTCCAGGATTTCCCGCATTAAAATTGTTAATTTTAAGGTCACATCAGATCTGACAAGAAAATTTATGAAAAAATTAGCGTATCTGCTTGCGTTTAGCGCTCGATAAAACACTCTTTTCAGGAAATTCAACGTCTTGAAATTCTCAAACATGCGCCATAGACGCATGAGTCTTCATTGAATGCTTTTGCGATAATTTTGATAGAAAATTAGGTGTGCGTCGTGCTGCGGTACCAAAAACCAAGGTGGTTCAATGCATATTATTTTACAACTTTTCCTGTAAATCTGGATTTTAAATAAAATCTAACCAAACTTTTCTGTGTAAATAATTCCGAAAATTTCGAACGCATAAAATTATTCATGCATCTAACTGCATACAGGTATTCATGTCTCAAGTACGCATAATTTTTCATTTTAAAATTATGGCTTGTGTCTCCCCATCAGAAACATCTCACTGCGCACGATATTTTTCTTGAAAAAGTGCTGTGGAGCCTGTGGACTTCACAAAAGAGCTTATGGTACTTCGTGAGCCATTTCTTTGCAAGGAGAAAATCGAGAAACATTTTTCAGAAACCTGTGTGAAAAAATTTATTCAAAATACGCATCTGCTGCTTCTTCCTTTTCAAATTTGGTGATAAATTTACGCATGGCATGTGAGAAAACGCGATTAGGAGTCAACAGTTAAATCTCGTGCACTTCGGGTAGTGGTAATATTTACTGGATGAACATTAACGTGGAAATTAATGATGATTTGACTTCTCCAGGCAATGTGAGGATTTCTCTTCGAAATGACCACGGTCAAGATGTTCCTATTCAAATCCACGACAATGAAAACGGCACATTTTCGGTGGACTACTGTGCTCCTACTCCTGGACTGCACACTCTGAACGTGCTTTACGCCAACCAAGTCATCCCACAATGTCCGATACGAATCAATGTTGCTCCGCATGTTGATATCAAGAAGGTCGCCATCGAGGGACTCGAACCGAGTAAGTTATCCTTCGAGTAAATAATTATGTGACATTTGCCAACCAAGTCATCCCACAATGTCCGATACGAATCAATGTTGCTCCGCATGTTGATATCAAGAAGGTCGCCATCGAGGGACTCGAACCGAGTAAGTTATCCTTCGAGTAAATAATTATGTGACATTTTCAATAAGGGTTATCAGGCACTGAATTTTGAAACATAGTTCGGACGACTTTATCACGTGTTTTGTTCGTTTGAAACAAGGGAACTTATGGGTGCCGATATAGAAATTGTCATTTTAATGCCAATCTCGAATATACCTAATAATGGAGGAACACAACGTTCGTCCTTCGAACGAGATTCGTACCGAGGAAACTTCTGAGACTCTGTTTCCATGTTTTCTCATTTTTTCCTCCGAATAAGGATGAGGCGCGTTTTATTATTTTTTATTTTTTAATACGACACTTCTTTATATTTATTACGCATAAGCTTCGCTCGGGAAAAAGTGGAACGAACACAGTTCCCTTTTGAAAGTTTTAATTTTCGATCATCAGCTGGAATTTCCCGCGAGTTAAAATAAATTAACGAAGCTTAGTCTCAACTCTTAAGCAAGAAATTCAAACCGACCAAGTTCGCTTCTGAGGATACATTTTCACATTTTTTGCAAGATACTTTTTTATGGGGTTTAAGGCCCTACGATAGGCGCTCCTTCATGTCAAACCGAGCATTAATTCCGGAAGTTCGATTGAAATGGCAGGCTTGATTCACCCGCGAGTTTAGAAGATAAATCAAAATTTGCGCTGTATATTTTAAAGATTTCTTTTCACGATAAATCTACGAAGGCTCTGACAAAATGACATTTTTCGCGATGACTATTGGGAAATACAGGACAGTACTGTATTACTTTTCAATCCATTCTGGCAACGTTATCTCGCATGTTTGTTAAAACAAAAAAGAGCGTAACAACAGGCGTCTATATTTGTTTTATTGCGAAAGATCACTGGCATTTTTCGCAATGTTCAAACATCAAAAAAATTGTGATAATTTATTTTTTTTAAATTTGCCAATGGCCCTGATGAAATAACGCGTGGTTCTGCCGGACTGTCTCAGCTGGTCCGGTGAACAGCCTGCAGCAATTCCGGGTGATCACGAAAGACGCCGGTAAGGCCCAGACCGACGTGAAAGTAGTGTCACCTTCGGGCGCCATCGCGAGTACGCACGTTATCCCCACCTACGAAGGCTGCCTCGTGAACTTCACACCCACCGAACCAGGGGACTATAAAATCAGCGTTTTCTACGCCGGTGAACTCGTGCCCTCGGGACCCAAGAAATTCAAGGCGACCCCTGGCAGCGATTCATCCAAAGTCCGCGCTTACGGGCCAGGCCTAGAAGGCGGCACGACGGACAAAGCCGCGGAATTCATGATCGACACCCGCGGCGCCGGACAGGGCGGTTTGGGGGTGACGATCGAGGGCCCGTCGGAAGCCGCCATCAATTGCCGCGACAACGGGGACGCCACGTGTTCCGTGGCCTACTTGCCCACCGTGCCAGGGGAATACGTCGTGAACATCACGTTCAATGATAATCACGTCCCTGGGTCGCCGTTCAACGTCAAGATCAAACCGGACCCGATGCGGCAAATTACGGTGTCCGGGAAAGGAGTGCAGCCCGACGGTAGCGTGGAGTTCGCGTGAAACCTAGCGGAGCTAGACGTGAAGATTCGCTATTGACAGCATCAACGGTACTCATCTCGCGTGCATGGTACAAAAGCCCTTTCACAGCATTCACCTCACCGTAGATCAGGGAAGACGACCTGTGTTCGCGACGCTGCTTGGGATCGAAACGCAAGCGTTGTTTCCCGGGACATCCCGAATATCCGCCTCGCTCGTTTGCTCAACTTCGTTTTTGTTTCTTCTGCAAAATTCACCGCTAAAATGTCGTGTCATTTTCCTTCGGATACAGCAGCAGTGGATTCCTGTCCATGTCCCATTGCTGCTCCACGCACACATTTTAAAGGCGGAAGTAGAACGTAATAATGGAAGAATGAAAACAAAACCACAGAAATTAATGCTTACGCTGGATAGCAGATGACTCAAGGAACTTTTTGCCAGTATTTTGCTTTCTATACGAGTATATTGGAGTCTTAGATAGATGAAGATGGATATCCATTTTAAAGTAATATTTGATACATTTTCTGCCCTCCGTTTAAATACTTCCCTCAACATAATACGATAAGTTGAAAAATAGAGCAAGCAAAGAAAACTTCATCAAGCCTTATTTTTTGAATTCCAGTTGTTTCAAGTGCTGAAAATATTTCTGATACTCCTCAACAGTTTTCCAAATCTGAAAACCTCGTTTCAACGAAAAAATGCTCAGACAATATTTTTGTGAAGGATGCTGAACTTGGGGCTTGCCTTAAATTGTCAATTGATGAGGAAGAAATCGCAAATAGAAGAAGTTTCGAATATAAACTAATCGAATAGAAACATATGTTTGCAGTTAGTCTTTTAATTGGTTCTCCAGTGATTTTCCAGAGTCTCATTCAGAACGTTGGTAGAAAAATTAATTCCTTCTACAAGGCTTGTGAGCTATTTATTCAATGTAAGTTTAAATTATGTACGTACAATGAATTCCACTCTCCAATTTCAACATAAAGACGACAAAAATGAGAATTCAAACGCTTTGGTCTAGAATATTATTTGTTATCAGCAGAAATATTCGCTTGAGGAGCTCCATAATTAAAATTGATTCGAATAATGTACCGCGAGTTATATAATAAGGCTCACAGGAATTGCTGCTGAAAAGCACCAATCTCGTCAAGTTCTCGAAAATGTAAGCATTCACCCGCTCTTGGATGTTGAACTCGAATGTGCGAGCAATCAGGGAAGGAACTCATGAGATAATTTCAGACATCAATTTTCACGATATAAAATGCCATCTTGCTGTCCGTTTTTGTTGATTTTCAAATGAAGTCGTGATTTGATGACTTATTGAAGAAAAGATGGAGAGCAAATGCCTGGAGGACGCTTTGCATCTCATCGCGCAGCTGGGAGGATGATAGCGATATAGATCGATAGCTTCCGTTTCAGTTGTTATTCTCCTCCTTCACGCATGATGGATTTCCTCATCTGTTCTAGTAAATTTGATCCGAGTGCTGTGAGCTCGTATTGTGATTGATGCGTCTGCTTACCGCTGTGTACTATGAGTGTCGTGTGATTTTACTTTAGAGTTTGGATAACTGAGCATGATGTCCGTCGTTTGAAAAAAATCTCCGATACTTGAAATTATTTCTTGATGAATTCTTTGACTGCATAGGTGTCTTCATCGATTGCCCGGCGGAAATTTTGGTGGACGCGAGAGCCGTGAAGACTAAGAGCGACTCCGTCGTTCAGTGCAACATCGCAAATCCTTCAGGACGGAAAACTGATGCTTTCGTTCAGCCCGTTGGCGACGGGACTTATAAGATCAGCTACGTGCCGGTTGAGGAAGGTGAGCTGAAATACAATACGGATAAACCTTATATCTATCTAATCGCTAATTCTCTCTATACACACAGGACCGCATAAGATCGACATAACGTATGATGGAGTTCCTGTGCCTGAGTCCCCGTTTGTCACCAACGTGCGACGAGGCTGCATGCCGAGTAAATGCAAAGCTGGCGGACCCGGATTGACGAAAGGAATCGTTAACATAACGAATCAATTCACCGTCGAAACCAAAGGTGCGTCGACGAGCATGGGATTATTTTTTGCTGCTGACCTTATGCAACGCTGAACTCACTGAAAACCGTCTGCTGATGATTTAAATGGACAATATGACAATTTACATTTATTAGAATCATAACTCCGCGAGATACATTGAGGAAAAAGTTACGAACGGGTTATTTGGAAAGATCTAGAGCTCATCGTAGGCTTATATGGAGGGACCAGCACATGGCTGCTCCAGAATATTAAATGTAGAACATGTTACATGGCGCAATAAACTCAAAACTGGATACTGAAGCGCGCATATTTAAAATGTAAATTGTTCAAACCGAAACCCGTTTCCCCCACCCAAATTCGCCCTAAATTCGATTACGCCTGTAAAGTCAGGATATTTCAGTACAATTTAGGCCGGACATATTTACACTTGAAAGGAAATTTTATCTGCGAACTGATTCAAATTATTCAATGAGATGAGCTACTTAGGCCGATTATTCCACCCAAATAGTCTAGTTTTCTGGCGAATTTTTTTGCTCATTTCCCATGCAAATAACAGCCCGACATCGAATAGTGTAGCTTTGGAGACGCACGCATCCTATGATCGCGTAAATACGATAAACAAAAACTAATCTGGATGAGACTAAAGCAGGTTCTGCTACTTACGTGTAAGATGCAGGGTAAGCTTACAATAAAAAAACCAGTATTTCTTGAGTCGTGCTCCGTAAATTGCTCTATAGCTCCATCATATGGTTATCCCAGGTGCTCTACAGCTGCTACATAAATAGAAAGCGCTCCAGAATAAAATGGAAATGCATTAAAGGAAAGTAGAATCGATTGGTATTTTTGGTAGACTAGTTAGACTCCTGTTAGGCTTGTTAGGCCCTCATAGCCGGACCCCGAAGAATAGGCTTAGTTTAAGCTAGTTAGGCTACAATGTGTGATTCCAAGAAAAGAGTCCGACAAGCATTTCTCATATTTCTCTAGCACAGGAATTAAATCCACCGTCCATTCTACAGATTTAAACATGCTGACCGCTTCTTGGCTAAAGCATGGGGATTGATTAAAAAACAAAGACTCCTCGATACAAATGAAAAAAAGAAAATATATACTACAGAGGGTGGTTTCGGACTGTTGATGCGTAGGCCATGGTTTCTGTCATGCGTCCGACTTTCTTTCCGCCCCAATTTTGAATGGCTTTAACGCCTTGATTAACATTCCATCAACTTTAATCAGGAGCTGGTAATGGAGGACTTGGCCTCGCGATTGAAGGACCTTCTGAAGCCAAGATGACATGCAAAGACAATCGTGACGGATCATGCACCGTCGAGTACGTTCCGACGGAAACTGGAGAATACGACGTGTCCATCAAGTTCGCTGACACGCACATTCCTGGGTCCCCGTTCAAGGTTGTTTCGACTGACTGCAAGTGCCTGAAAAAAACACCTAAAAGAAATGTTCGCCCTCGTTTTCTCCAGGTACCTGTTGAACTTCCGGTGGATGCCAGTGCGGTGGAAATTAAGGGCCCTGGGATAGAGCCCAAAAAGTGTCGTGCGAACACACCACAGAAATTCACTGTCGATGCGAGGAAAACTGGTAAAGCCCCGCTTGCCGTGAACGTCAAGTCTGACAAAGGTTTGTTGATTTTCAAACTAGAAATCATAAGCGACATCCCATCCAGTCTTTCTTCCCGATCTTTGGAGATGAAGCGAGTTGCTCTATTCAAAGTTGGTGTAAAAATGTCATGTTTTGAATGTCGTCAATTACGTTCATTCTGCGGATTATGCTCGAAAATACTGTTATTGGATAAGCATATTTTTGAGTTTATTCGATTGCTCCCTGTATGTTCATTTAATTTCGTGGACATTTAAAATAAATTTCAAGTACATCTGTGACAAATCCTCAGTTTTTTCAGCGATGCAATATTTTCTTCGGTTGCTCAGCCGATTAAACTGTGCAACGGGATCCCTCACCCATCACTCCAAATACAGTAGTTCCTTTTACGGAGATATTACAGTACCGAATATCGCACAGAATACATTTTCAATACTTGCTGGAATTGTTGCAGGAATCGTGGTAAAGAAGCCCGAGGTGAAGGATAACGGAGATGCTACCTACGATGTGACCTACCTTCCCCCACCGGAAGGTGCTCCGTGCAACGTGCAAGTTCAATGGGACGGCAAGGACGTACCCAAGAGGTGAGGTTTCATTTTCAGCTATGGTATAGCTGTAGCAGATGAAAAAAATGGCGTTATTTTTTTTTCTAGCCCGGTGAAAATGAAGGTTCTTCCGAAATGTGAGCCGAAAAACGTGAAAGTCTCAGGCCCTGCACTCTCAGACAAGGGCTTGGCTGCTTCCATGCCAGCAGAACTTGTTGTTGACACCTCCGACGCTGGAGTTGCAGATCTTGAAGTTCAAGTCTTGGTAGGCTTCATATCTCGTCAGCGAGACCTTTTTTTTCTAAAATGTTGCTTTCAATGATCGAAGAAATAGGAAGAACTGGTCAGACGACTCTTCGATGTTGGTAACTGTTTTGAATTGAAATACCGCTTCCGCGCTTAAAATTAATGCTCGATATTTGACGGGGTTAAGCGCCTGTTGATCAGTATAAAAAACGTACGTAAATTAAGATATTTAAAATTTGTTTGCCGGTTTTTCCGAAACGTACAATCCAGGATATTCGTCTATACTTGTACATGTATATAAGTATAAAGTAATATATTCGTTTCCGATCTTTGTAATCAGATAGGACTGCTAATGAAAAGTCGTATTTTTTCCATAATGGTCAAAATTTGTTGCGCCATCTCTGGATGCTGATGGTCATTTTCTTTGGTCGCCGCATTTTTATTTTTTGCGATCAAGGTGCCTTGGATTTGTTTTCTTAGACTTCCTCGATTTTCTACGAAATTGTACCCCTTTTTTTCAATTGTTCAGGGACCGGACGATCAGCCCAGAAAGGTGAAGGTCGTTGAGGAACCTGACGGCAAGCACAAAGCAACATTTGTACCCGATGACGTCGGCGATTACAAAATTAAAGTCAAATACGGAGGCGAAGAAGTCCCCCATTCACCAATCAAAGCAAAGGCACACGTCGTTGGGAAGGTACGGCATTATTTAGAATAGGTTTCACACGGAAACTGCAAATTCCTTTGATTGAATCTCACAGGCTGAGAAATGCCAAATCACGGAGGGAATCCAAGAAACGTTGATGATTGGCGAGGAGTATTGCATTACGGTGAACGCAAAAAATGCTGGTACTGGTGCTGTGACGTGCCGCATTAGATCTGTTTCAGGAAAGTGAGTGAACTCCTGCCAATATGTAGGCTAATTATCTTAATCCCGTATGAATGCCTTTTTTGCAGTGATATGGATATTGACATCGCTGACAACGGCGATGGAACCTTCTCCATTTACTACAAAGTCAACGACACTGGAGAATACACCATAAGCGTGAAATTCGGCGGCCAACAAGTGCCTCAAGGATCTTACACTGTCAAGGTAAGTTTCTATTTATTTTTCGAGATTTTTTTGGAATCCTTGGGGAATTTTCAAGCGAAGTAAAAGTTTTCAATTTCAATGTCGGTGATAGCAAGGCATTGGATATGGGTTTCCCCGTGCAAACATTACTAGAGTCAAGCTCAAGAGAAATTGGCGCGTTCCGCAGATCATTCGAAAAATGAGTCTCCGTACGAGAACGATGCAACGTTTCCTTTACCGACCTTGAGAAGTCGATTTTCTCAAAATACCTCGGTTTCCTCCTGTGTCAGCTATTTTCAAGTGTTCATTGTTCACTGTTGCCCCATTTCTGTCGTTGTTCGTCGTTCGTCCAAATCGAAGATGACAAACGCTTCCCGCATTTTTGTCGCAGAACCTTGGTAATGATCTCCTTAATTGAGGAAGTACAGTATGTTTTAACGTTGAAAAAGTCTCGGGGGCTGGCGGAGGATGAATTGATGAGAATGACTGCTGTTCGGTTTTTCCTGGCGACATTCCACTGTGAAGAATAAGCAGAGGCTTGGATTTTTGTTTCAATTCAACTGCTGTTTAGCTCTTGAAACTGTACACTTACATTATAGTACAGTATGTATACCCGTGATTATTTTATAGCCTATTAAAATTTTATAGTGAATGCTGGTTTCGACTAACTCTTGACATAATACTATTCAGAGCATGCATAAAACTGGAATAATTTATCCCGGAACGGAAAAATGTAAATGTACTAAGCATAACGGTTATTTTTTAATACGGAAAAGAACTTAAAAATGTATCATAAACATTATAATCTTCTGTTGATGAATTAAAAAATGGCAATACTGTAATTCCAGCAGCAGAAAGTCAGGATTGACTTTCTGCTGCTGGAGCTCCGTTGATGTTTCCTTTGCCTCGAAACACTTCTTTCGATATGTTGAATTTATGTTCCGAATGTACTGTATTACATGGATCGTGTGAGTAGCTTCAGTAAAAGAAAACCTACGGTGGTGTGGAGAACGATGACCCACTTCTCTTTCAAGCTTGACTCACACACCGTATCCATACCCCCCTCCGCCCCGGAAGTTCGACGTTCTTCCGCACTCTTTATTGCGGAAAGCGCTTGCCTTTCGAAGGGAAACTTTCGCCGAAATTATTCCCTCTTTTCGCACCCGTTTCCCGTTATTTTTTTTTTTTTTTTTTCGCACCCGTGGTCCTGGGTATCGGAATGGAAGTTGGAACCGTATCGAAGAACGGAAGTCCGTCGTACGCGCAAAATTTCTTGCAGGAAAGCCTACAACAGTAAAACCTTGATTATCCCGGTTTTTTCAAGGGTAATTTGTCTAGCCGTGTCCATGACAAGAATTCTTCAATTTTTTCGAAATGTGAAGGTATCTTATGCAACATGAGTCACCAACCGACTAATTTTTACATTCTGCGACATTTTCTTGTCAAACGCTGCTTGCTGTAATGGTTGCGTCTTTTTGTGGCGGGCCACTTCGGGACTCACTTAGCTGTCCCAGGCACTCGAATCTGTATCAAACTTAAGGTGAACTGAAGTACGGGTCTGATACGGATAATTCATGTTTCCCCTACTGGTAATTCGCGATATCAGGACCGTCGAAATCGTCAAAAAATGACATATTCACAGATTGAAGTTGTGTCTGCGATACTGTGCTTCGTGGCGGCTTTTTCCAAGAACATAAAAATCGTTCTGCTTCCTATCACAGGTAATAGTGAGCAGGGAAAAGTAGGGGACTTTCCCGAAACATTTCTTCCGTTTCCCGTGATATAGCGGGTTCTCATGTGTTTCCCTTTCTTACAAACAAGTTTTCTTCCCAAGTAAACGACAAGTCCCGCCTTTCTGCATAATCGGATGCATTTTCGGATCGAAGTCAAGATTAGAATAACATATCCAATTTACCGTATAGGAATCTCTCAAAAACCGGACCTATCGATCGTTTATTACTGTTTTGAGTTTTTTTTTAGTGAACGTGATAGAAAACAGGGATCATTCATCAGCCAAGAGTTCTGTTCTCTTCCGCCTCCAAACATCAATGAAAAGCAATGCCTGTATAGACTTGATGTTCAACTGAAAAGCCAGGGAGGCATTGAAGCGGGACGATGCATTTTTCAGAAAATACGTAAAAAAGGCAGTAAATCCTTATCCCTCTATCGGGTTCCGCCAAGGCCCCGTTTCGTTAATTTTGCATCAATAAGTCCCGTGTTGGAAAGTCTTAGCTGTTGGGAGAACACAGTTGTAGACGAAACACGCGGGCTCCATCTTCCGATTCGCTGAACACGACAGGCAACACGTCGTAACCAACAGTTACGGGGAGGCATGCGATGGGCAGATCAGTTTCTCTTTGAGATCCGCTTGCTTTTCCTTTAACTAAGCATCACTGTTTTCTGCCCCTGTCGTTCGTCGCCCAGGTGTCTTTTCAGAAGACGCGCCATGTTTCAACACCGGTTCGTGTAACATACCTGCACCCGGCAACTGCTGGGAGATGCCTTCATTCCGAAGGGACTCCCGGCCTTCCTAGATTAGAATGGTTCGTCGGAAAGATGCGTGGATTTCTTCCGACCCGGATGGACTTTAATTTTAGCAATGGTGTCTCATAACGCTACAACGAAACTAATTCGCTACCACGCGTGGCTTGCAGAATGACGAGTTCGTCGCTATGGAACGAGTTTTCCCGTGGACATGATGATGTGTTCTTTCCTCGAAAATGGCAATGCTTTTCCGATGTCAGTCACTCATCTCAGGACTCAACGCTACTCATAACTTCAACTCATTGAAACACTTCGAAATACGCGTCAAATCTAACAGGAGAAAGAAGAAGCAACAGAGCAGCAGAATACATTAACTACTTTGCGTACGAGTCCAGTATATCAAAAAATTAGAAATTCTAATTTTCGATCTTGAAGAGCCACTGCCATTCGTTTCCTAATTTCATTTTTTTACTATCCATTTAAGAGCGGGTCCTTTGTTTCGGATATGCTTAGTTGAACGTAATTATTTTTTAGAAACACGGATGCGTTGCATGAATCATGAGACATTCGTTCTATGAAGCACCGCGGTATTCCGCACAGTAGAGCTCCGATGATTCCGTTAAATTTCCCAGTGCCTTCAGTCGGATAATCAAATCTAGCAAATATTCTAATAATAAAAAATTAAGTTGAATGGTTTCAAGAATAATCTAAAGTGAACGCGCAGTGATTTGACTCAAAATTAGGCCGCTCAACATTCGGGATGTGTACAAGTACAATTTTGCACTACGAAATCAATCCAAACTGCTGATATATACTCTACATGTATCCACACTGGTATCTGTATTTGACGCGAACGTAATTAGTCCCCTCAATTCTAACGTAAAAAAATTTCTTACTTATTCACGACGCACCAAGACAATTTTCATTTATATTTTCAGAGAATGCGTGTCATGGGTACATGGGCAAAAACGGTAATACAAGGCTAATATTTTAGCTTGTTCTGCTCCAAGAAATGCTTTCTAAACCGAGTCGACTCATGCTCGAACAATCTTGTTGAAAATCTGCGCGCGTTTCGCTCAACTATGAAATCTCTAAAAACGACTTCTTAATTGATCTCCAGTTTTTTTGCGGTCGGAAAACTCGAGCCAAATCCATGCACATTACAATGAGCTGGCCACTCAAGAGGTCTCACTCTTCATAGGGCTGAAAATTTTCGAAGATTACCCTATTAATTGTATAAAACTGTATCTGGCCGTCATACCACCCGAGACTTCAAGAGTTGCCAAGAATTATTACGAGAAGAACTCGCTCGGATGACTAGGGAAGGTTATCCTCTGATGTCCCAATTTTTCACTTGTGCTCTTCATCCTGGAAGATGCACGAGAGGAAAGATTAATCATGTTGCCGAAAGGTTTTTAGCCGGTCGAAAAACATTCAAAATTTTTGGCTGCGCAACAGAAATCATTTTTTGGGACGCAAGGAAAAAGTAGCGTTTTTCTAGTGTATATATCAATCCATGGAAAAAAGGCCGACAGAAATGCATCTAAAATAGTTTTATGAAGTTTAAAAAAAGATGATAATATAAAAAATGAAACATTATGTCTTCATCAGAAAGTCAATCTGGATCCCCAAAAAGACGAACGAATATATTTTCCAAGTTTGAGAGAGTATAGTGCAGATGTACAGCCGTGGTGCTCCGTATATAATTGCTATATAATTATTTTATTTTGAATTAAATGTTTTTTCCACGGAACACTAGACTTGAATCACGTACTTATGTGAAAATTACTCCGGGTTTGACTGAATCCCCGCCAAGAAATAAATCGTGTTACTTCGGCAAATTTTGAATCCCACACTTTCTGTAGGAACTCGCAAGACTTTACACAGTTCGAACCACGGCAATTGGGCGAATGCTTCGCGTGGGATTAATTGCGGGGGTCATAAAAACTAGTTTGAGGGTTCGTTTCGACTGAACAGTCGCCCGTTGTCTACCAGTATACAGTACTTCAAGCTGTCAGAGTAGTAAACGAGGGAGGAGGCTGTGAAATGGATGTGTGACGATGACGGTGGAAACGTTCCAGGTGTTCGTGAACATGAGAAATGGAATGCCTATAGTTGGAACTGGCAACTGATTCCTGCTCGTCTGAGGTTGTCCTGGTGTCGTAATTTATTGTCCTCCTGTTGTTTGCGATTCTCTGGCAGAATTTTACTCCAGCCTCGTTGAATTTCGTTTCTGAGTTTTTTCGAGGAAAGAAAAATACATTTAAGAAGCTAAAACTCCTGCTCCAGGTTGTAGAAGATTTAAATGAGCTTCCCAAATATATTCACAATTATCGCCGTAAACGATAGCGTCGAACATCTCCTTCAAAGCAATCCGAATGTGCTGTACATGCAAATTTAACGGAATTTTATGATTTTATAATGAACTAAATATCGATAGAAGCATACGTGAGACCAGTTTTGAATAGACATTGAAGAAATTTCTAATTTTCAAAATTTGTTTCGCCGGCGAGTGTTTGAGTCTCAAAGCATTTCCTGCTTCTGAAAACGTGCCCACCAAAATCATTTTTATTTACTGCGGAATGCTCTCACGTGCTCGAGTACTTGCAACGCGTATCTGAGTTGAAAAAGTACTGTACTCGTGACCTCTAAAGCCGTTCACGAGGGTTTTCAACTGGTTATACAGTACTTGCATTTCTATATGCTCGTACGTAAACTGAGAAAAATTAAATCGTCGATTTGAAATCCATCTGGAAGCCGTTTGAAAAAAAATATTGTGCAAGTAGGAACAATTTTTTGGGTTCAAATAATAGAAAAGCTCAATGGCTGTTGTATGCTGTCTGCTCGGAGTTTTTAATAGAAGAAACTCTTCAATACCTCAGCGCCAGTATGAACACATGCAATTTTTTCATGGCTTTAGAATTAAAAAATGTATGGTACGATCAATGCCCTTTTATTCTATTTATACTGTGCTTAACTATCCGCTTTATCTGTGCGAATAATATGAGAAACCATGAATAAATTCAGATTTTAACATGTATGCTGCCCTGAAACTGAATATTTTTTAGGATTCTTTTGATGGAGATGGAAACACTTCGTATTCCAAAATTGTCCTGGCCCGTCGAAAGTAAGCATGTACTGTACTTCTTTTGAAAATCTACATTGTCTCCAACAGCATCTGAGGCCATCATACTTTTTATATCATGAAATATAAGGCCCCATTGGATGCGTGACACGCTTCGGTTTAAGCGGATGTTTGGGAGGAAATACATTTTATTTTCGAGTGAATGTGATAGCCACCCAGACTGGAAAGATGAATGCGTTGAAATATATAAGTCATCAAACTTTCATACGTTTTTTGTTGTTGCGAGAATAGGGGCCTGACATTGATAAGAAGACTATTTTGTGTAGCAAAAGACGGGGCGGGGAGAAACGAAAGAAGGAGGCATCCCTCGGTAATCTTCGGGGTGTAGAAGTGTCGCTTGGCTTCACGTAGACTTCCCGACATTTCCCGGCTTTCGTTGGGTCGGCAAGATTCCTGCGGAGGGAAAGAAGAGCTTCCCAGGCTCGTTCTCTTCTTCTCTGAAAGTCGCGGATTACATTCTATATTTACCGGAGCATCACGTTTCACTGGGGCTCCTCCTCGTTCTCGTTGAAGCAAGGACGGAGATTTTTCCTCGAGTTATATGGGTTGCCGAATTTATTCCCGGCAGTCTCTTTCTCTGCATCCCTCATATTGGACCGTCCCCAATATCTGCGAAAATAAATTCCCAGCCGTCATGGACCTGCGTGAATCAGTCGCGCGGGCTAGGGACGGAATATGTTCAGCGGATTCTGGGAGCGAGGTCTGGGAAAAAAAAAAAAATGTTGGAAAATAGCTGGAAAACGTTACTCCCTCTCCCCGAATTTTGCGGAATCTTTCGCCAATGAGTTTTTTTCTCTCGCCCCCACTGAAGCGTCTCCAAGCATTTTTTTTTTCATCTGCTGGGCACCCTGACTCACGTCGTCTAGGTTTCCCTCGTTTTTATTGCGCTGTAGTAGGGGTTCCGTCTTCCTGCCTGGGAATTCCTCAGTTTTCCCGCATTCGTGCACGGCTACATTTTCGTCCCTACACTGGTGTGCGAGAACACGGCCCTACTCATGAACCGGGTTTGCATTCCGCCTGTCACGGTAGCTGTTTCGCGTTCGCCTCCGTCCCACGGGTCCGCGATTCTTGCACTGCTGGGCGTGAGATTCCCGGCTTTATCATTTTTTAATCCTTCCCTTTGGTCACCTCTCTTATCGTCGTGGAATTTTCTTCAAGGTTGCATAGCATGTGTTCCCTTTTCTCTGTCGTACCAATCAGAAAACGTTAATGTGACTTATTTTCGGAGAAAGAACCGAGTCGCTGTTTGTCGCCAGAATTAATATTTTTAAAATCAAAAATTGATTTGTAACCAGTCTTTGAAGATGTTTTTTTGGAATTTGTAAGGAAATGCTTCAAAATATGTCGACAGAACGTGTAAAACTTTCTGTGATAGGCGAAATGGGCGAAAAAGCGACCAGCTTTCATAGTAAAGAGAATCGAATTCCTCATCGCACTTCATAAAAACTCCAAGCTGAACTAATCATCATTCGTTCCCTGGCAGACAGAATATCGACTCCGCATGAATATTTAAATTGAAATCACTCAGGTCTTTTAAAGCAGAGAAATACCTTTTGTTACATTTTACTCTGAAAAATTTCAAGCATTAGGAGTCTTTCATTTGCAGTTCAATTCTCGATGAGCTATCGTATTGGAGTTCTCCTGACTCAAATTTCCAGATATCATGCCTTGAGGATCATGCTGTTTTCTGATTTAGAATGGATTTTATTTCTGACAAATGTGAATTGTTCATTCAATGGGAACATTTCGATGGATTTCGCTCAAAATGCACTGGTTTTGTGCAATCTTTTCCGAAAATTTTAACAGAAATCCTGAAGTTTTGCGCGAAACGAGAAGTGCGGAAAGTGTTTCCCGATAAGTTTCTTCGTGGGTCTACTAAGCGGACGTTTCGTTTCGGCGATTTCGGTGTCAACGGGGAAATTAACGAACTTCTGAAAGCGAAAAATTAGTCAAAGAACAGATGGAAACGATTGAGTGACACTCATTAGCGAACGAGACAAATGAGTTTAACGCCGGCGTCAGTCAGGAATACGTTCGTCGCTCTTTGGGTTTAGTGTCGGGAAATACTCGTTTTTCGGGCTCCGAGGTGCGATGAAGGGACTATCGGCAGTGTCGACGAATTCCTGACGGTCGACGGGCCGTGGTTCATTCAAACGTATCCCGTCGCGTCTCCTGAGATACGGGACTGTCATCGTGTCTCGACTGCGGGTTATCGTTAGGAATGCAGAGAATCCGCATTTTCTAAAATCTTTTTTTCTCGACTTCGTTCCCCGAAACCTTCCGGGTTGAGTTCCGAGGAAGTCATCTCTTTTTTATTATTTTTCGCTGTTTCCATTTGGTTCAATTCAGACTCAGAAGGATTACAACACCTAGTTTTTCGGCGGCTTTTCTTCCGCGACGTGTCGACGGAAGAGAGCCAGCCGAAACCCAAGTCCTCCTTTTTTCTCGCCTCGTCTCGTATTTAATGTTTTCTCTGCTGACAGGTTTCTCGCCTGCGTGAGCCTAACCGCTGTTTATTTAATCAGGCGTTGGCCAGGACATTCGGTGTTGCCAATGGCTACTTTTGCTACGTTTTGTTAGATGAAAAGCCTCTTGCTTTTCTCACGCACTTCCTGCAATTAGTCGCCTGCTGGGAGATCTTCAGCGCGAGAAAACAGATCTCGACGGCATGTTTGACGTCTGTCGATTGAAATTTCAAGAAAAAAAGAGTTAATTCTCGCGTACAAAGCTTCAAGGATGTTCGAGTTTTCTCCAGTTCGCCGTTCAGCAAAATAAAAGATCTTTAAATGGATCATTGTCGTCGAAAACAAACAAGTACCCAATCTTAAAATGTTTATCTTCGGCAACTGGAGAAATGGAGGGGCTTTTTTGAATTTTAGTGAAAATGAAAGGTGTCCCGGCATAAAATGTTTTGAAGCGTCGACCGCGTTTTTGCGCTCTTCAAAACGGAAACTAAGAGAGCGAAGATAAATTATTCGAATTCTTTACTCCCAACTTCTCGAAGGAAAATGCGCCAAGACGAAAATCTGGGACATTGCTCAATTTATCTTAAAATCTTTGTGAGTGATGAACTGCCGCGTGCATTGCCAGAAAGTAAGAGCATACGTGATGAGACCACAAGGTTACAGATTCAAAAAAGAATTAATATTGCGATACTTTCTTCCTCATTTTTAAACCTGTGTAAGGTATGTAAAATGAATAGTTTTACTCAACTATTAGACCAGCTTTATTTGCTCCCGCATCTGAGCTGATCCGTGGGTTCAAATTGAATTAATAAACGAATGTCAGAGAATAATTAATCAAATTAAGCATCAGAACCCGCAGTTTCGTGTTTCTTTTCAACTTGAGTTGGCATTTTCATATTGTTAGCTTATTATGTGGCGAACCGAATCAGTAAAATATTCTTGAATAGTATTTTCATTTTTTAAATGATAGAGTAATTTCTCGTATAACCCTCGGAGATTAGACACTTGTGAGGTCTACGCTTGAACCTATTTTGTGAATCGAAAATGACGTACCCGAAAGCGGTTTTGACACATTTTTGGGGAGAAAGTGCGGCTTCTAATGTGTTAATTATGGTGATTGGCTTTTAGGATGGCGACGATGAAGCATATTTCTTACACTTCGCAATGATTCTGTATTGTGAGAATATCCTCATGATTCGAAAAATACTTGAACCGAACTCAAGGCGTTATCAATTCAACGTTTAGGCGGCTACGTGAAGCGATGAATCATGGGAAATTTAAAACGCCGCGACCAAATTTTTCTTTGTGGGCCGTCGGAATGAATGTCCTGGCGGGAACCCAAATGCCTCCTCACACCGTCGACATCGGGTACATGAACAAGAATTGATCACTTTTGGGTACTTAATTCCACAGGCTGCGAAAGACGAGACCCTCGTTCATAAGAAATCTGTGTCGAAAAGCGTGACACAGGTCTCTGAGACCTCCCAGTACCGGGCTCTCGAGCTTCACAATATCCCTTTGCCGACCACTGGAGGACAGGTCACAGGTAAGCGAGATAAACCTAGGATATCAGATATTCCTCTTACACGCGCAGAAACAAGCATCTGACCGTGATGCTGGTTCATCGACAGCGGAGATTAAAATGCCGAGTGGAAAGACCGACAAGCCAGTGATCGAGGACAACCGTGACGGGACGGTTTCTGTTCGCTATGAGCCGAAAGAAGAAGGATTGCACGAACTAGTGGTCAAATACAACGGCGAACACGTTCAAGGTATTTTGAAGCACATTTGAAACTTTCTGTTGAAAGATGCCCTCCCATTAACCGGCTGACTTGAGCTCAATGTACTTGGCGATGCGGTCATTTTTCTGAGTAGAAGGATGGAAACGTCCATTTGTTCCGCGTCTTGGTCCTGATGAAGGACTCATTACAATTTTAAAATGCGTATATTATGGGGTTTTGGGTTTTTTGTCGACGAAGTATTGAAGAAAGGCTTAATTCGGATTGCATGGGCACAGGTTCAGCACAGAAATGTCGTTTTCATGCCGGAAGATACGCACTTTTTTTTACCAAGTCAGTTCATTGCCGGAAAAAAAGGTTTACGGTATTTGTTCAGTAACGCGTAATATTTTATTATCTGGCTAAAGTATCGTGTCTTTAGCGTGGATAATCAAAGAAATCTTGGAATGATGCCCGAAAATTTTCATGATTTAGTTTCTGATCTCTGGTGTTTGCAGGATCCCCTTTCAAATTCCACGTGGACTCAATTTCCAGCGGCTACGTCACTGCTTACGGACCCGGATTAACGCACGGCATCTGCGGAGAACCCTGCAATTTCAACATAATCACCAAGGATGCAGGATCAGGTAGCAGCCTTCTTCGGGGACGGGGTAAATCTAAGTGTGAATCCGATTCTTTGCCTGCTGCCCCCTTCGTGCTTTTACTGGTTGACACACGGTTTGTTGCGCCTGCCGCGCGTCTGCAGTAGGTCCGTCCTGGAGCTGCCGGCTCCATTTTTTTGTATGCATAGTTCACACTTTGCTGTACTTTTTTTCATCACATATTTTTGTTAACGGAAACTCCTTCGAGCTTCCGTTTCGAATTTTGGATGACCTCGAGAATGATTTCAAGTTTTTCCGAGGTATTTTCGCACTGCTTCCATTTTTCTCATCCGCTGGTCCCGCTCAGTCGCGAGGAAATCCTTTTGAATTTTTACCTCGCTCCATAAACCCGTCACCTATGCGTAGTTCCCGAATATTTTGTCCTCGTTGACTGAAATCGTTCGTGATCTCTGTCTTTGCCTCCCACCACGCGGAGACGTGATACCTATTTCTGGTTTCCACACTGCCTATACGATCCGGTAAAAGCCAGACTGGTAAAAAAGAAAATCAGGCATGCTATTGAGCCCGGGGAAGCTCGTGGTAATGGTGCCACTGTGTAAATACAGCAAGGAATATCCCAACCCCCAACCCCCACCCCCCTTCATCCATGTAACCACCTGCTGGTAGGGATCGAATGAACGCATGTAAACGTCATGTTCCGAGACATCCCTGCTTTCCGCGACCTTTTTTTTGTCCTCCAGGAAATCCCTATTTTCTTGGACATGGGTCCTGGATTCAAGGAGTCGTGTGCTAACGTCATTTCACTTAACGCTTCGATGATACGCGATAGGTAATTACCTGCTATGATGGGGTTTCCGTTCAGCTCCTCTCAGAGTTAAACCGAAAACTGCCCCGCATACTCGTCTGTTGCCGGAAAACCTACTGTCTTTCCTTGCCAGCCTTTTGACGAGCATTTAAACCCCGGATAATTCATCTATTGCCGTATACGTACCGTTAACAACTTCGAAGAGCCATTTTTCTTGAGTATGCTCAAGAAAAATGGTAAGGGAGAAGTGGGATTGTGCTAAAGACAAATAATAAATTCTATATAGTTGACAGGAGCTCTTACATCCGTATTTCGAAGTACGGGGTCTATTGCTGGAACTTCATTTTTTTTTTCAACTAAAAAAGTATTATGTTTTAAGATGTACAGGCTACGGTAAATCAAGGGGCTTTCGTCAATTTTTTTTTATTTCAACAGGGGCTGAAGAAAATGAATCTACAGTACCATAAAAAAGACGTCTGCTCTGGCAAAACAAAGTGAAAGGAACTCTGCTGCATGGCATACAAGAGAAAAGTTGTTATTATACACTGTTTATTCGGTGATGCCACGAACTAAAAACAAACACTCTTAACAACAACAAAAAGATCCGACTACATACAGTACTTTTACAAGACTTCGAAACGTAAGGTTTTTCACGCATGCTTTGTTCACGCATCTTATTTTCCCATGCATTAAAAGTAAACCAACCCACCTTCCTCTCTCCCGAATCAAAGCAAATTTAAGAAAACATTTTTCGTGAAAAAGGCCGAAAATTGGATGCAACGATACAATGAATGAATGTCATTTGGTAAAATTTTTACAATGTTCAGGCTAGTTTAGAGATTCTCGTGATGTGAATTAGGGAAATTTCGTTTAAATGTTCGTGGAAATACCTCTTGTCATTTGTTGACATGCGAACGACATTGCAAATGCTAATTACATTGTCTGGCAAGGTTGGCTGCATTTATGGATTTCCGCACATTGGCGACAGGAAGAAACACGTATAAAAATCCCCTGTAGTGGTATTTAAGCATCACATCCAATCCATGGTTTGGCATTCATAATTGTCGGCTCAAGTGACCCTTCTGAAAATCTTCTTCGACCTTTTCACTCGACTTTTCTCTTGGGCAGCAGGTTAAAGACGAGCTCATGAGGGGGGCAATGAGTGGCAGCCCTGTGTTGCAGTGGACATTATTGCTTCTGCTTCACTTTGGTAGATGCCTGACGATTCGTCGTCACCTCATTTTACCCCCGCTTACTTGTAAATTTTTTTTTAGACAACGGCGGGCGGAATTATTTTCTTAGCATCGTGCTGTTTTTTTGGGATGTCTTGTTTCACAGCAGTTGTGTGTGATATTCGACGCTAATCAGTAGCCAACGTTTCCTTTTTTGCCGGATCCCGCAGGTGGGTTGTCTCTCGCTGTCGAGGGCCCCAGCAAGGCGGAAATAACATGCCATGACAATAAAGACGGCACGGTGTCCGTGTCTTATCTGCCCACGGCTCCAGGAGAGTACAAAATCTCCTGCAAGTACGCCGATAAACACATCAAGGGCAGTCCTTTCACTGTCAAAGTCACTGGTGAGGAACATTACTCGATGGTGCTTGAAGCTCCCAACACAGGCACTAAAAGGCGAATCGATTGTTTATCTGCAGGCGAGGGGCGGAAGAGAAATCAAATCAGCGTCGGCTCCAACAGCGAGGTTTCCCTACCGAGCAAAGTTCCGGAAAAAGAAATCAAGCTGCTGAATGCATCGATTCAAGCTCCGTCCGGGCTGGAAGAACCCTGCTTCCTGAAACGTTTGCCGGACGGAAGTCTCGGTAAATAACGTATTTACAGTACAGTGCTAGAAAAATAGACCACAGTCCTCAATTCCGTAAGAATCGACACAAAAAAAAACATTCGAGATATTTAGCCAATTAAGGTATGGGCAGCAGCAACTTGGAAAATGTCGCTACTGTTTTCGATGCAGCCCTGTTTCAAATTCGTATTCCATTAGATTTGTAAGACTGAAAAAGTCATTTCTTCGAGTATAAACTTGTCAAATATTCAAATACTGTATTGCTTAATTGGCAATCCGCTGAACGTTTTCTAAAGAAAAGTATTTCCCTGAATAGGAGAATCCGTTGATAAAAAGTTAACAAGATAAATGCGAATTGGTGAGGGACGTGTAGGTCGGAAGCATCTCCTCCAAAATGTTTGAGATAGTTAGCGGCCAATACCTTTTTTTCGCGTGGAATGCCCGTTGCCTACTCTTGCTCGCGAATAACTCTGATTTATTCTCGAGAAAACAAAAATTGTTACCGAGTACCTCCTCACTCAAAGGGATCAGCTTCACACCCCGCGAAGTCGGTGAGCATACGGTTTCCGTGAAGAAAATGGGAAACCACATCAACAAATCGCCGTTTAAAATCCACGTCGGTGAGCTGGAGGTTGGAGATGCGAGGAAAGTGATCGTTAAGGGGGCTGCGCTGAAAGAAGGTCGCACTCACGAGGAGAACCAGTTTTTCGTCGACACCCGGGATGCTGGTGAGAATAACGTCTTCCTTTTTTAAAAATTATCATAAATCTCAAAAGAAAAATGCGACGATTTTAAAAGATAAAATTTTGCATACGCTCCCACAGTTCTTATTGAGGGACAAACGAAATTTTCAAGCTGCTTTGAGTTGTGAGGGAAAACCTTGCTGCGCTTTGATCATCGTAATTTCGTTTCTCTTTGAGCATGCCGTCAATATTTTTTATACACTTGAATAAACAAACCACTGAAGTCGTAATCATCAATTCTAATTTCATTCGTGATGCAAGAAAAGTTATTGGAAACTTTTGTCTGACCCTAAGTGATTAAAAGATATGACAAACTGAACGAATTATCTCGTAGGTTACGGAGGATTGTCGCTGTCGATCGAGGGTCCGTCGAAAGCTGAGATTAGTTGCAAGGACAAAGACGATGGGACACTTGCCGTTTCTTACAAACCGTCCGAGCCCGGATATTACATCATAAACTTGAAATTCGCAGACCATCACGTCGATGGCTCTCCATTCACTGTCAAGGTGGTATCACGTCTGCCAAAATTCCTGCAGAGTGCTTTGATTTCAACTGAGAATGCATACTTTCCTACAGGTTACTGGAGATGGGTCCAACCGACAAACAGAAAGGATCAAAAGAGATCGCGAGGCAGTTCCTCTGACGGAGGTCGGGAGTCAGTGCAGACTCACCTTTAAAATGCCAGGTAAGAGTTTATCTCATACGATGAGGAATAAACAGGTCCGTGGGGTCGTCTGGTGTATTTCATACCTTCCCAAACTGGAGAGCATTTTGCCGAAAAATCATGGAACTTTTTAAAAATTGACTGTTGCTTCCTCACTGGTTTGCTGGATTTTCTCACCTTGCAGACTTTATCTACATTCGCGACTGGGGTCATTCGTTGGGAGAAGACCCGAAAAAACCTGTTCACCAAATCACGACAAATGTCCCGGGTACAGACAGAGAATATTTGCCCACATTTTTTGTATGCTGATATCTTACCATATCGAGTTGATGATTGAAAACATTGCGAGTAATTGCTTGGGGTGTCGCGGTACATTCATGCATTCATTTTGCCTGGTGAACCTCGCTGAATCGATTCACTGAGTAACGTCGCGCCGCCAAATTCTCAACACGTGCGTCTGGTGTGTGTGCGGTCTGAGAAAATTTCCATGATAATAGGAGAAGAATCCCGGCGATTTTCAAGTTGCTATTTCGTACTGCTGCACTTGTACATAGCACCTTATTAACTCATTTGATAAGGCGTTGATGGAAGCCTCATCGGTGTTTTACTCCTCCAGGTGTGTCTGCGTTTGACTTGGGTGCTGTTGTTACTTCACCCGGGGGAGTCAGCGAAGCGGCGGAAATCGTCGTGGTAGAAGAGGGTTTTTACGCCGTCAATTTCGTCCCGAAGGAGCTCGGTGTGCACACGGTGTCTGTCAAGTTCAGGGAGATCCACATCCCTGGTGAGATTTTGTTGTTATTTTCAAAAATCTTTTGCTTCGTAAAAATCAAGGTAAAGAGTATGAACAGTGTAAGATTTTGTAATACGCATTTTTTCAAGACTGCGAAAAATACCGGATTTAATATTTGATTTGACGTCATCGATTTTTGACATGAATAGCATTTTGCTGCCGCATAAATTTGAAAAAGATTGCTGACAAATATGAGGCCCATTTCCAATAACCTAGCTGACAGCAATCTGATTACCCTAAGTACGTATGCGAAAAGTTCTTCACTGTTTAACCAACGATACATCTTCGAATGGAATCCATTGTGGTAATAATAAACAGTGTAAAAATCCTCAAAGAACTTTCTGTCGAGTGAGATTTAACCTTGCAGGAAATGTTGGAATTAGAATTTCGTCGTAAGTTCCAACCGAGGCATACTGAGTGATGCTTTCCTCGAAAACGATGCAAATGTTCGTAAAAAAATTTTTATTGAAGTAAACTCTAAATTAATGGAATATGACGAAGAGAACTGTGCTTTTGAAACCTGTTAATCGGTTTTTTCTTTGTTCTGAATTCCATGTTGCAGCACTCAGTACTGTATTACAATCACGGAAACTGTTACTGTTCTCATTACAAGGCATAAATAGTGTATCCTCGTAGAATTTACGCGCATCTGTGTACAGTACTGTATTTGTTAAACCTGGTTTTGGCTGAAAATGTCAAGAGAAAAAGTTTCCAACAGCATTTACTGTAATTAGAATATATCAAGCGTAAACCAAGTCTGATCCATTAAAAAATTCGCGTTATATTACCTGAACTCGAATTGACACTCATTCTTCAAGCCTGATTACAGCTGTGAAGGCATTCAACACATGCTAAACCAAGGAGGAATTGTGGAAACTATACACCCCGCCTTTTTTTAAAAATCCCAATTCACGCAATAGCTGTCTGAAAACCTGCAGCATGTATATATTAGAGCGGTTTTGTGGAGGTATCATGTTCTGACTGGAAAATAAGATGTTCTATGAAAATATGTACGACATTATACAATTGTTTTTGCGTGAACAGGATCGCCATTCCAGTTCACCGTGGGTCCGTTGAGAGACTACGGCGCTCATAAGGTACATGCCGGCGGGCCTGGCCTGGAGCGCGGCGAAGTGAACGTGTCGAGCGAATTCAACGTTTGGACGCGAGAGGCCGGAGCAGGCTCTCTGGCTATTTCCGTCGAGGGACCCTCCAAGGCGGAAATAGATTTCAAGGACAGGAAAGACGGCTCCTGCTACGTTGGCTACACTGTCACCGAGCCAGGTGCCTTTTCACCACACCCGTCTGTCCCCGTGACAGCCGACACGATAGACTTTTCTATATAATTCCCTCGTGGCGCCCCTATTCTAGCTTTCTTCCAGTCCATGTATCTCGTACGATGAAAAGAGGTTTACAATTCTGGACCACACCAGTTTTATTTACTTCCAAGTATAATTGCCGCAACCCAGCACAATACGCCTGCGGTGGGCAGCCCAAGCTGTAGATGAGAGAAAATCATCAGGAACGCAAGAATTATTCTTCGCTTATTCCTCACGTCCAAGTCATAAAATATGAAAATATTGCCCCTTTGCTTATCTATTGAACGGAAAATTTTTATTCTCGAATTCATTCCAAGTTTGGAATCTTTCAGAACTCAATTTATTGGAAGATCTACGAATTTTGCCATAGGCTGACGTTCTCTGCAGAAACTGAGGATTTTTCCGACACTCGAATACGATATTCTGAATATAATAAAGGAGTAGTATGCTAATTGTTACAAATTATGATTTGCAGGTGAATATCGCGTTGGGATCAAATTCAACGACTTGCACATCCCCGACTCGCCATACAAGGTGTATATCAGCCCTCAGCTCGGAGATGCCAAAAAGGTCGAAATCGGCCAATTCCCGGAAGCAATTTCAACCGTTAACAAGCCTATTGCTTTCATCGTTACGAAAAACGGAGCAGCTGGAACCTTGGACTGCAAGGTAAAGAATCTTTTCGCACTTGCGAGTACAGTTGGATCCTCACATTGCGTGGCACTGTTGACAGGTACTTGCTCCTAGCGGAGCGGAAGATGATTGCTTCACTGCCCCCATAGACGACGACACTTACGCTGTACGCTTTTTGCCGAAAGAAAACGGCATACATTTCTTTCATGTCCGGTTGAATGGGGTTCACGTTCCCGGGTCACCGTTCCGACTGAAGATTGGCAAGGACGAAGCTGATCCGGCGGCTGTCAACGCCCAAGGAAATGGACTCAAAGCAATCAAAAGCGGTTCGTGGAGAAAGTGGTTTTTATTTTCCACGCTGAAGGAATAAATGTAAAGTAATTTAAAATGGTATTTGAATTTTCGGAATTCCTTGGATTTGTTCAAGCTACAGTATTTCGTCTTTTCTTTTCAATTCCCAAGCGTAAAAACTAATTGCACAATGAAAATGAAACAAAATGACTCCATCAGGAATTCGTTCTATGAGAGACAGAGCAGCGGCGCTTGCTTCATTTTTGTGAGAAAAATGAACGAACATGTTGATAAAGTCACTTACCTGTGAAAAATATGCAGTATATATTTTTCATATTGCTTAATAAAGGTCTAATTATACTCTTGCCTTAAAAATTCGTGCGCAGGATTTTTCTGCATCGCGACAAATAATTTATACACACAGCAAAAAATTAACTTTCAGGCTTCTAATTATGCGGCTTCCCCTGTTTCTAAACCTGAAATTCTTGGAAAGGCTTTTGAAACTTGTGAAGCATGGCAGCTCCAAAAAGGAATAAAAATAAGTGTCAGCGTTCATGGTGAAGATTTATTGTCTTTACGATTTTTTTCAAAAATTGCATTCAACAGGTTTTAGATGTCGGCCATTATTGCAAATAATTGTGTTTTACATTGAAATGCGATGGAATATTTTAATTTGGCTGGCGCTCTCTCAGCAATTCGGAGAACTTTTGAAAATCCCGTCGCATTTTTTGTTCCCTTACAGGTCAGAAAACGGACTTCATCATCGATACCTCCGCGGCTGGTTCTGGCACTCTGGCAGTGACGATCGACGGACCCTCGAAGGTGTCGATGGATTGCACGGAAGCAGACGTTGGTTACAAGGTGCGGTACACTCCGCTCGCCCCCGGGGACTACTTCATTTCCGTCAAATACAATGGATATCACATTGCTGGCTCTCCCTTCAAAGTTCACTGCACCGGTGAGTTAATCGTTCCCTGGCTCAAATAGCTAATCTTCGTTCCGTGGTGCTAGCGCCAGAATTTGAAAATTCTTGATACATCTGAGAACAGGTATACCTAAAAAAAATTATGTTCAAGTGTTTTGAAATGGTGCATAATTTTAAACTTTCACTTTTTTATTGTTGCTATATATATGCATTCATTGAAATGTGATCCACCTAAAAAAATTCTTCCAAAATCGAGGAATCCCTTTTATCGCTAAGTCTCATGTTGAGCGAAATTCGGGCTCGAAAAATGGAAACTTCACGGACTGTACTGTGTAATGACCTGTAATTCATTCTGCATGTATCGAAATATATTATTTTATTTTTCGGAGTATGTTTTTGATCTTTCTACCGATACGCAGGGTACGCATGAACTTGTTGAGGAACCCTAAAAATATTATTGAGATTCAGGACGACAAGAAATCATCGACGCGGAGGGGCGTTTTCAGCGCTTCCATTCAAGCCCATCTTGACGGTTCTTTATTCATTGAAAAATTAAATGAATAAAAAAAATCTCACTCGTGGATTCTGATGAGTCCCCGACCTCGCAATTGTCTGTTTTCTGGTTAGATAAATTTATTCTGGTATCCAGTTTTATTTTGTCGCTCTTGAAAATTACATTGCGGCAATTTATGAAGTACCGTAGTTTAAATCTAGAAATTCGACTATTTCTCAAGATTTGTAGCGGAAACCGAGTGCATCTTTTTTGTACGGTTGTGTATTATGATCCGAGAAGAAAAGAACAATAGCATAATTATAATTTTACTTTTAATAGGTCAAGCGATCACTGAAGAAACGTCGATATCCGAGACGTCGTCCGTCATCGTGGAAACCGTGCCGAAGCAAGGAAAGACGGGCTTTGAAAGAGTAGTAATGCCTCGTTTCAATTCGGACGCTTCCAAAGTCAAGTGCAAGGGTATGGGACTCAAAAAGGCTTATTTGCACAAGCAGAATCAGTTCACTGTACAGGCAGACGAAGCTGGTGAGTCGTCGTCAAACCTTTTGCTTTCTCAGCAACCTGTCGGGGGTGGGGGATCCTTCTTTATGTGAAAGACGATGTGCTTTGAGTTCTTGATGCTTGTTTGTCACAGGGCAAAACATCTTGTACTGCGGCGTGATCGGACCAAAGGGCCCGTGCGACGAGGTTTACGTGAAACACCAAGGCAAGAACCAGTACTCGGTGAACTACGTGGTCCACGAACGCGGAGACCATGTGCTCATTGTCAAGTGGGGAGACGAGCACATACCTGGCTCACCATTCAAAGTTGAAGTGCCTTGAAACGCTAGCTTGATGCGAGAAGTCCTCCTTTCTTTCTCTCCATATCTCCGAATCTCCTTGAGGAGCTTCTAAATTTATTCATTCGCTTAAATGGGAAAGATTTGTGTGTTGTGTTCAAGTATCACTTGCGTGCTGGGCGGGCTTCCTGCCTTCTTCCTGTCTCTCGTGCGATGTCCGCGGAAACGAAGGAGACGGAACTTGCACATGCTAATCACGTGTCCCGAAAACGCGGCGGAAAACGGCGCCTACGTTGAAACCGCACACGCACGGACTTTGTAGCGCTTCTGGCACCGTCGTGTATTGCTGCCGAGTTCTCCCTTTAGGTCGTTTTGTCAACACTTGTCCGCGATTTTCGGGCCGCCGTCTCGTACTACCGATTGCTTTCACGGATGCGTAGGGCAGCACTGACACGCCAGGCTGTCCGGCGACCTTCACGTGATGGAGTCCGGCGAAAATTTTACCTTATCGTTAACCGCTCGTCGAGCTTTGGGCTCTGCTGTGTAATATACGGTGGGGAGAGAAGGGATAACATTCTCGCGGTGAAGCGCTGTATCATGCGCGAAGGTTGGAAGTCGCCCGCAGCAGACGATTCCGGCTTCCCTCGAATTATTGGTGCTAATGAACAAGTCAATTGCGTAGTGGACCCCAGAAAACCATTGACAATCTGGAAATTAATTTCGCTGATTTCGGCCACGGACACTCGCTCGTGAATCCCCCACTTTTTTTTTTCTTTTTTTTTTGGACACGCAGCGACGCCAGCTGCAGGTTCCATCGTATCGACGGCGCCATGTTTTCACTCACTCACACAGTTTACACTGATGTACCTTCTCCTTCTGTGAACCGGCATTTAATAAAACGAGAGCGAAGTCTGTTACAGTGCCTGCGACTGATGTTGCCCGATTTGTGTATCACGCTGCGGTAATGAAGCAGATATATGCTTGGTATTCGAAAACTGTTTTCTCCTTCATTTCAATTCTGAGATTTCAAAGAATCCTGGAGTACTACAGATGCCGTGAGACTGATCAGTTTGACAAATTATCGGGACATTTCCTTGAAAAGACATCATCAAAAACCCTCGAAAACGCTGCTGTGGAATCCAAGAGGTCACCGAATGACCGCATTTTAAGTCAACACAAACAAAATACAGTACAGTATTTTACTTCTAAAGGGATAACTGGTGACCATCACTTTCAGGGCATATGAATCATTGACCATTAGGAAATCGTTTCTTTAACATCACTATTTTATTTTTCATCAATTTTCTTGAAAAAGACACATATTTTTTTACGCCTTGAAACTGAAAAAAATTAGCCTGCGAAAATAATGAGTATTTTCTTCACACTCGATTTCGTCGGAATCGAATGAGTCCATGGATTCAACTCATTCTTCAGATTCTGTACCAACTCAAAGTGTTCAAAGATTTCCAATTTAAATCCGGATTTAAGCTATTGCGCCCATGAACTAGAAACACTGGTAAGGCTTTCTTCAATCAGACCTTTTCTTGAGATTTTGGTGGTCAGAACTCAGAAGTAATCATGCAGCTGTGAATCTGTTATGTCACAAAATTTAATTCGTCATGGAAGATCATCTACGCCTCTTTTTTTTTTAGCTTGCTTAATAGGTTGCTTATTCTTGAGGAAATACTTCATGGTATCACAAAATAACTCAACATCGGGCTGTGATTAACCACGCCCATATATTAACTTGTTGAGGGTAAGTAGTCTGCATAATGGTACTCTCTGGTGTAACTTTTCCCTCAGATGGGCTCATTGACCAACAGGATGGTTCTCTAGAAAATGTAAACAATATTTTCAGGTCATCATTAAATAGTATTCCGCGCTCGTAATAATTTTTGCAAGACTACGTACGATGGTTATACTGTATCTGTGAGGTTTGGCAATACGGAAAAAGTGCCGGGTCATTAACCCGGATAATCGGAGTTCGACTGTAAAATTCAGGCAACGCATAAAAAGTATTCACATCCTGGATATTTGGGATGACGAAGTCACTTACGAAGAATAACGCTCCACTTCCCCATACATAGAAACAAAGCAAAGAATGTCGACTTTTCTGCAGAAATGATGCCTTTCCGTAACGGAAACTCTTTGGCTTTGCAGAATACTTTTCTCATTCTGGAGCAAGTGCGTTTTCTAGGACGTGTGATGGTCTGGATGATGCGGACGTTGAAGCGCGTGCTCTTGACGAGGACGGATCCGCGCACGTCACTCGTAATAATCGCCGTGTGTTCATCTTGATCTTTGAATGCCATGATATTCACGAAAGCAAGAATCACTCATCTCTCGGAGTGATTCAGATGAACATTTGGCTGATGTGAGCCAGATTTTCACCATAATTAGCACTCCTGTGCAGCAGCTTTCTCTTTTCTTTCCTGGCCTGACGATGAAATCTCGGCTCGCGAAAGTTTAACATTCGTTTGTCCGATGCCTGCATTGTCGTCGCAACGCGCAGCGCTCCGCTTAGATTTTCGAGCAGGAGAATATGCATTCTCCATGCAACATTCCAATTGAAGTCCACGACTTCGGTTTATTGATCGCCTGCATCAGTTCTCGATTTCAAGAAGGTCGAAAACATTGGTAAACATTACATGAAAAATCTAAACTTAAGTATTTAAAATACGAGTATGTTTAAACAGGACGGATCTTGTTCAGACTATTATAAATTAAAACAAATTATAACGTGAGCGACACGTCATCTATAACCAGGGTTAATTTTCCTAAAATCGGCGAAAATTTCGCATCACTTTCCCCACGAGCTCTCATGTCTTGTGAGATGAAATTTTGTGAATAATAGCTGATTATTTTGTTTGATCTTCATTTGACACTGATTCCATCTAAAATCCACGTCTTATATGACTTATGAGGGAAAAAATCCATTTAGATTGCAATTAATTCTGTTTTGATCACTGTGCTCATTCTGGTATCTGTTTCACTTGAAATTTGAAGACACGGAATAAAAGCCCGGATTCACAATCGAGATTCTAATTTACCATCTGAAGAGTAGTTTTCTCGCAAGATCACCTTACTTTGTTTACGTTTTTTTGAAAAATAAATTCAATGCAAAATAAACGACATGACAATTTAATCTCGATGCAGGCGTATGAGGCAGCTCTCGTGATGAAGATTTCAGAAAGAAAAAATAGAAGCCAATGGCACAGTTGATGCAAACCACACTTTTTTTTACAGTAACAGCTGGCGCATTCGTGAGACGATCGAAATGCGATTAAGGAAATTGTGTTATAAATTCGCATTTCAAAATTTGTTTATAGCGTGAAAGTTTAGCTCTGATTGTGTAATCATTCGGCCTCAGATACTGTTTCTCGATATTTTCAGGAATTTTGTTTATACTAGCTAATATATGTCATAATTAAATTTTTTATATGTTAAGTGGCTTCTCATTACAGCATTCGATGATCCGTTAATGTTGAAGTTAGGGGAAAAGGCTAACGGTCGTTAACCGAGATGATCGGATTTTTACTCTTCGCATTTTGATCCTTTCCTCCAGCGGTAAAAAAAGGACGCGTGATCATGGAGCAGGGAAAAGTCAGGGAAGTGCTGAGAACTGTAAGTGCACACTGTATCCGAAGTGCTCTTTCACACAGGAATTTCATGGAACATTTTTCAATTTTTCGGTTGGTCAGTCGTGAAATTTTCGTGAGAAATCGCGAGTGAATTGAGCAAACCGTCCTGTGGCATCGTCACACAATATATTTTCTAAGGCCATGACAAGTAGACACAAGACACACTCGTTCAAAAATAATTCTTACAGCGAAAGCGTATCAACGCCCTTTCGGCAACAATGAGGAAACCCCGAAACGAAATCATCAAGAGCTGCTGCATGACGAAGAAGTGCGTGAAATCATCAAGGGTCGGGAAAAGCGTGCGATGAAAAGAAAGAAAGAAAAAAAAACTGGCTCTCCATGAGTGGGGGGGGGGGGGCAGTTCAGCGTAACGATGCGGCGACAAGTCCACGAAACAATCCGGGAAATAAAACAAGCATTTTGAAAGTTTGTCGGTAGCACGCACGGCTTTCACCAAAAAAGCCGTCTGTTCGAGGCGCGTGAAGATCACGTACGGAGAATTTCGCCTCCTCCAAGCGAAAGCTTTTGGGGGGTTTTCTTTGGTACCCGCGGCCGTCGATGAGGGAGTCGCCCGGGCGAGCTTAAGTCGCTTGCGAATCGCAAATAAAGGTCACTTTAGAATGGCACTTTCCCCCCGATCGGTCACGCCGCGTCAACGTGGACATTGCAGTCGCCACGGGACCGAGCAGTTCGCAGCTAATTGCGCCGATCAACCGTGGATGAGCCAAAGTTCCCTCGAAAAGGATGAGCACCTCGGGGGGATCGCAATGAGCGACACTACTCGAAATAACTACAGTACTTCAGCAACGCCTACGGAAGAGGAAAACAAGGGGCTGTTTTAGTACGAGACCGACCACCGTGGTGTGTCCGACCTTCGAAGTAATAACGTTACAGCACGTGACGGACCAATATCCTGTAACAAATGTTATTCACGTGCGTTTTAATGTCACGGTGAAATCGATTTTATCGACAGGAAAAAAGTGAAAATTATTTCAAGGAAAATACAGTCTACGAACAAAACCTCAGTTAAAAATAATACAATAGAAATAAAATGAGAGGTAATGAAGTGTCAAGCAACGACGATTGATGCAAAACTCATGAAATGGTTGTGCGTGACAAGTTCTGGATCGAAAAAAGGGGAATTTTCGGCGATTTAAAATTGTTTTCAAGTATTGTACGGGCCTCATATGTGAGACGCAGCATTGCAACCTAAACTCAAATACACCTCAAGTATAGGGGACCCTCGAAGTTACTCAGGACATTTCCCTAGCAAATTAAGAGTATATCTTCGCTTAAAATGTTGCGATGTGCGTTGGTTCTATGTTCTAACTTTCTAATGAGGCGTTGTTGGTAAGATCCAAACACAAGTTAGACGAAACAATGCCTTTGTCTCTAGCTTATGTCGAATCGCATCACTGAGGATTGGAATCACTGACGTCACCGCGCTGCCGCATTTTAAAGTACAGCTTCAATGAATGCATTAATTAGGCGTTAGTTTTGGTTAAATATAAGTGACATGTAATTTTTTGCGAGTCTCTTTATTCCCTTGCCGGCAGTTCCACAAACAGCTCGGAAGATTGAACTGGTGAGTCATGAAACATTTTAAGGTTGGGCACTAGTACGGTACATATATCGGCAGTCTGGCCGGTCCCACCTTCTTTGGTCGGTCATGTACTATAACAAAGTCATGGCGGTCGGTAACGTACTATAACGGCACCAAAAACAATTACAAAATCGGGACTCGTCGTCAGATTAACCGTTCGTCGTTCGTGGACCAGTAGATCGTCTCCTTACTGTCGTTGCCCTGTGCCTGCTGCTGCTGCTCCTGCGTGCTGGTTTCGTTGTCCAGCGAGGTCGGGTTGTCGGGTTCGTCGGATGGTTCCCAGGCTGCCGGCCCGTCAACGCCTTGCACACCCGTCGCCGGCGGGAAGTGTGGACTCGGCAGCTTCCGAAAGTTGACTATCTCCACTCGATCGTCTTCGTCGGGCCCCGCGGGGCACAGATGCACGGACTCCGACGCCTGTTCTTCATTGGGCTCCGCGCCTCGTTTCAGGCTGTCATCCGACGCGGATTCGGAAGAAGCCCGACTCGACGGCGGCGAAGACGAGTTCAAGTCAACGCGGTAGCCGGCGGTTGTTCGACGGCGCCTCTGGCGTCCGCTGTTCTCTGACGCTATGCTGACTAGGTCTCGGGTAGAACTCGTCTTTCCGTCTACGTAATACGCGCCGCGCTTCGAGTTCCGCGTGTTGGCCGCACTTTTGAAGCCCATGGGCAGTGCCATGTTACCGTGCATTCCTGTCCGCCCGTTGAACCACGTGCCGAGGCGGTGCGTGGTAGCTTCTGTCAGGCTGCTG